TTTCCACGATTTCATTGAGATGTTAACTTAAATTTGATTTGGCTCAACAATAACTTTTTGAGTTTTTAGATTTTATTTTTTCCGATTTCAACTTGATTTCTGATTTAAAGGTGATTATGAAAACGAACGCTCATGGTGAAAAAAAATCGTGGTTGGCTTAGATTTCTAAAAATTTTTTTGGTTGACTTAGGCAGGACTCTCATACAGGATGTCATTTGCCGAAAACTGTCGGATTTTCTTCGAATTTTTCAATGAAATTGGATTTTTTTTTTACTTTTTACATGTGTCAAAGTTCTAACAAGAAGTCTCTTTTTTCTAAAAAGTTTTTGATTTCCTTCGTTCAACTTCTAAATCGGCAACCTATCTATTACGCGGCGAAATTGGCATTTTTTCTCAAATGCGTGCTAATGGTCGTTTTTTTTCCAAAAAAATGGGATTTGGAAAATTCATTGAACTTGCAAACGCAAGTGTTTTGTGATAGGAAACCAGACTTCTTTTACCGTAAACAACTTTCCTTACATATTTTTGGGAAAAAAATTTGAGGTTTGGTTTTTTATTAGTGAACATAAGCAAACTCGGGACTTCTTCTCACTCAGCTTAGAGGTAACGCAATTGCTTTTGTAATTTTATGTCTGGGGTTCGAGTCCCGGCGGGAATTTTTTTAAGTATGTATAAAATTGCAAATTTTTTTCCAAGAAAAATTAAATTTTTGGACTTTGTCTGATTATGTTTTGCCGGCTTAATTCCCATATCGGGTAATTTTCTAGTGCTGTCAGAATTTTGTATTGTAGATGAAACAGTTTGTGATTTATTCCTGTAATTTGTAAAACTAAAAACTTTACGCTTAAAAAATTTTATTCGGCTTGAATGGTTTTGACTTTTATTTTATCAGCTTAGTTATCTTATTTTGTGTCGCTACACAGGCAAAACACTGTTGCTTTTTTTTACCTGGAACTCTGCACGGAAATCATTTCGAATGCTGCACGAGCGTTTAATTGCGATTGATGCGAAGCTCTGCTTCGCGTCTGTCCTCTGTGTTATGCTGGCAATTAATAAAGGCAATCAAATTGAAACATAGGGTTTTTTTAGGCACCTCAAAACAACTGTTTGTACAAGCAGTATTCTATCAAATAAAATTTGTACAATAATTTTTGCACAATAGAAAAGACCAGCAAACAAACTGCTGAGCTTATGAAACAAAACCGTTGTTGCGCCACTGTTTAAGATCTACCTACGGTTTTTTGGCTATTTTTCTGGGCTGGGTAATGTCAAGCCTCACCCTCAAGCTACAAGTAAGGATCATCGTGGGCCTCAAACATCCGACTTTTCAATTGCGAAGCGGAGAGGTAACTTTGAAGTTTCTTAGTTTTGAAAAAGTGAGTCTTTTTATTTTGTTTCCTTGCATTTTTGACTATTTTCCAACAGCCTGTTAGCTGGTTAATTTTTTTTTCAATTGAAAAATTTTTTGGTTAGAAAAGCTTTTCAACGCTGAAAACTCTGTACAGCTTCTTGTGAGGACAAAACTTGACCAAAAAGAAGCAAATCAGATAGTGTAATAATGGTGAATCAATTGCAAAACAGAATGTTCAAGTCATTTTTTTTAGATGATTCATCTTCTTGAAGATATTACAGCATGTTTATCCGCGTCGCACAACGGAAGTCAATAATGGCTTATATCAAGAGAAGAGAATATATGAGGGCAAGTTTGAATCACAATTTTAATTTGACAACATCATTAAAAGTGATTGAGGGGCTGTGCAGTAGTTTGAGGTTCTCAGCTCATTGTACACAAGAAAAGCTTCAAGGCATGTAAAATTGGTATCGAATCGGAATTAGTTTCTCTTGATTCAATTTCCACAACAAAAATGAGAAAATTTTCAAGCGATTTGATTTATCAGTCTATTCAACATTAATGGCAAGTTTCCCACAACCACCGCTCATAAAAGCTAAGATGGTTGCAATGACATTACCAAAAAAATGTCCCACATACCTTTAAATAATTGTTCGTTAAGACTCGATCAACACAGAGGAGACGACTCTTATAGAAGTCGTGACGAATTTTTTTTTTTCAGAGAGTATGAAAGTTCTCAAGCTCAAACTGTTTATTGATGCGTTTTGACTTTTGGTTTCTCAGTAAATTCAGTTCAATTTTTTTGTTAAAAGGAAGACAAAGTTCACTACCGAGTAGCAAGAGAGTGAAGGACACAAAAATTAGATAGTAATTTAGTTTTGAAAGTGAAGTTTAATTGAAATTTTCCAGGAAGAAAGTTCAACAGTTTTTATTTTGCATTATTGTTTTTTTAATGAAATAGCATGTCAATCATATGCTGTTCTAGAAACTCGAAAAACGTAGAGGTCAACTATTTTTTTTAATTTTTAAATTTAAATGTTTATTGGCATAAACTTTTAAATTGAGTATGGAGTTTAGAAAACCAGAATAGTTTCTTTAAAGATGAATTGCTGACTAAAAATTGGTTTAGGAACTTGCTTTCAAAATCAAATTGGATACAAAAATGTCTCAAGCTATTATTGGTGCAAAAGGCGGAGAGACTGATTGTATTAATTGTTTGACCGAAATGTCGGTACGATTGAGAGAACTGCTGAACTGATATTTATTTTGGCTCAGATATAGGACAAGAAAAATTAATTTTTTCTTGTTCTTCTGTTTATAAATTATTATTTTTTTCTGTTTACATCAAATCTTTGACTAAAGGAGGAGTTTCTTCTCTGCAGGGAATTTCTGAAAAAAGTGATCAACTCACTCGTTGACTTGACTTGCTAAAAACTGTTACCTCTTTGACTGCGGAGTTTGGCTTGAAGCTCGATCTAGTCTCAAAACCTTCAGAAATGTGATAACTCGGTGCACGTGAAACTGTCCATTATTTCATCACAAAATTGAAATTATGTTCTATTTGTCTGTCTATGTTTAACACAGAAGCAAAGTTCCACTTCGCATACAAATGCAAAAATATGACCAATAACGCTACTGAGAAAAACTGAAAGAGTAAAACCCTGAATCTACTCAATTTTTTCAAGTGACACACGCCAATTATGAGTCTGCATAATTGCCAAATAGCGCAAGCCGATTATGACACCTTAGCAGTGCCACCCAGTTTTAAAAAAGAAATTTACAAAATAACGTTCCTCAATTTATAGAGCGGACGCTTTTTAAATAGTATACAAAAAAGTTCATTAAAAACATTCGACCCTGCCCAGAGTCGAGCCCTCTTATTTTGTTGTGGGTCTCCTTCCCTACCTCTACGCTACAGATCCATGATACCTTGAAGCTAAAATGCTATTCGTAATAAAAAAAGTCTGTGTTAACATCCTTAGCTGTACTGGTTATTGATCGAAATGAACACTTTCAAAATCAACATTTTTTCGTTAAAAAAATTCGAAAAAAAAGAGAGTTCATACTATAACACAAGCTTGGTTTGTGTAGATAGAATAAGAATCGCGGATTGAAAATTTTAACGACGTTTATAATTTTATGCTGAACTTTCGCGAATTTAAAAAGCGATGTTAACAACTGTTACTAGCACGCTATACTCGCTTGAAATTAAAAAGCAAAGACAGTTTTTTCTCATTCTTATGAATATTATTTATCGTACCTGATTTTGCGTGGAAAAAAGAGAAAAAACTAAAACACGCCCGAAGACAAAGTTACTCCTACGTTCAGTGGTCAGAACAACCGAATCCTCTAAACTAACCAAAAAACGGTTCTCCATAAAGAGCTGAACAGCTCGTTTGAGGATCCTTCCCCGTGGCTAGGTTTTAAATATTAACAAATTTTTCTCTTAACGTTGTTTAACTGGATCTAATAGTTTTTTAGGATTCACAACGCTTTATTGAAGAAGTTCAAGTCTCTCATTTAAACTCACTGGGCAAAAAACAATTCTAGAAAATTCAATTACGATTTCATCTCTCGAATTTGCTCCAACTGTTTACACAAATAAATTTGCTGTTGCTGTAAGTTCATAGAAAGTGAGTTAGATTGCAATTGCGTTATCGCTACAGTCTCTGTTCTCATCGATGTCAATTCTTTCAGTTCAGCTGCTTTTTGAAGCCCATCAAGACTAAGTAACCTGTCGCAGAAATATCCTCCAAGCATCAGCATATTTTGATCCCCTCTGACCAGTTTGAACAACTCTTTCAGGCCCTGTAGCTCTTCTCCTTCCGTAGCATCACTCAGAACCAGTATTGGCATCTCCCCAGTTAACAAATTGCGCAAATTATCTAACCGTGTGTTCCTCAGGGCATAATCAAATATTCTTGCGGGTCTGGATACAAAATGAAGACCGTGAAATCTAAATTTGTAGAATCTAAATTCTCGCGAATCATCCGTCATGTTTATGTTGAAAAACGCCACAGCTAATGAGACATTTTTCAATCTATTCGACAAATCTTTTACAAGAACTTCTTCGTAAGGATGCAGTGCAGGTTCTTCCTCTTCGAATCTATCCGAAAAACGACGATCACAAGTATGCCAAAGAGGTTTTAGTTCCTCCGGTTGCTTCCAATCAGTCAAAGTGTCCAGAATCATCCGGCTAAATGGCTTCACTCGGCCTTTGCCTTTAGTCTGGATGGTCCTGGTTCGTGGAGTCCTATTTCGATGTTTGATTCCGGCTACGAAACGCAGTTCAGTCAAGCGGGTATGCAGCAAAAGACTACTAATATTTCCACCTACGCAGCATAAACTTCTCAAGCATAACATTTTTAATCTAAAATGAGAGAAGATACCAGAAAGAAAATACTAGATTTACGGTAGCCAATGGTAAACGTCCGGATAAACCAGCAAGTTATGAAAGCGAAAAAACCACAAATAAAGGAAATAAACTCCCTGATTATCAATGTTTGCTGTAATAACTTCTGATAAAAACCGTTGTATTGCTTCTCAGATTTTTTCACAGTTAAACATCAGAACATAACGCTTTGGCTTACCCACTATCTAAAATTTGAAACATATGTGCGAAACATAAGAAACATAAAATTTCCCTCAATTGCATCGGTTCACAATTAAATACTGAGCTAGAAAAAACTTCTTAAATTCTTTTAACTAACTAAATATAACTAATAAACAATTGCATCTTTAGAAGTAGTTCTATTAATGATGAAAAGATGATGAGTTTTGTAAAATATCCATTAGTTATTTCTGACCATTCAAATCCTCCAAACTACTCTCCCGCTCGTTTTTTTCTGGCACCTGTGGGAATTTGAAACACGCTGATTGAGCCGTCAAATTTGGATGGTACGCATTTGTATTGTAGTTCTGGGATAGCATCAGCGAGTTTGGTGACACAGAAGGATGGAGAGGATGATGGTAGTGATTGTTGTACAACTGGAACTGATTGCTCACTCCCAAGTTATTCTGAAACGGATTTCCTTTGACATTCATCTGAACTCCTGGAAGCCCAAGTTGTTGGTTAGCATTATTTTGATTATGCTGTGATATTGAGAAACTAGAAGCGAAGCTGTCGTAAAAAGAACAATGAAGACCAGCCACCACAGCTACAGATGACGTCGAATCTATGCTGCAGAACTGTAAGGGATCGTTCATTCCGACTGCTAAATTGGGTCGAATAGATGGATGTGAGCCGTTGTTACTCGCAACGCTAGCTCCCATTCGATACTGCTGCTGCATGTGTGCGTGCAAATGAGTATCGTAGGTATGCCGATGATTTGGATAGTTCAGGCTCGTTAATGATCCAGCTGGTATTTTGGATAGATGATTTGTCGAGGCAACGCTTGCTTTGGATCCATCATATTCAGCATCGGGAACTACACCTAAATAAGCAGAAGGTTAACCACTATGAAAAATTCTTTCGAATTGAGTGAGAATTACCGTCATTCACTCAAAATTCGAAATACCGAAAAGATAGAAACGCTATTACAACACAATAAAAAACGCAGCTAAGTCGAATATGTTGTAGAGAACTGATAATACAAAATTCTACGAGATCAAAAATTTATTTATGCTTCTGCTTTATAAAGCGTATCTTCACGAACTTTTATGTATATTGGGGTATCTGGCAGAGGAAGAAGTCGTTGACGTGACACTCGCAGTGGACATCGAAGCCACAGTCGTATTATGTACAGTCACGTGATCTGTTTCCAGACTAGTTGCCACTGGCATCGGGGGATACATACTGGAACAGTCATCTGGCTCCACCATACAGTAGACACTGAGACTGTCCAAAGTAGACATCCGACCACTCATGAGTTCAGCTTGAGACTGTTGCTGTCGCAATCTTTCTTCAGCATCTTTCTCCTCTCTTAAAATATTTGTTGTATTTTATGACAACTGTGAAAATAAAATATATGAAAGAAGAAAAATTTTAAAATTTAGGATGAATTAAAGACGAACTATAAGTCTCTGGGAAATTTCAATAAATTGAGCAAGAAGATCATTAAATTTGCTAACAAACCAGCATCATCTTTTAACATTTACCTCAACTGCTTCTCTTTTTTCCTCTTTAGATCATACTCTCTGCTCGGAATAATACACTGCACATAGCGGACGAACTCGACGTGGAACGCCTGAAGTACCTCTCGTTCCACGTCATGGCTACTCTGTTTTATACTGCTGTCCACACATTGAATGGCTTTCTTAGCAATGGTCAAGGCCCTAGTAAAATTGTTAACATTCAGACTTCTTTCTATATCGGCTTTAAAACCGCGTGCTTGGTCCAGCGGGTGAATTTTAGCATGCCCAACACCTATTTGTTGACGCCTTTGAACTTGCAACGGGTTCGATGAAGCTTGTTTTCCACTTCCAGTGTGAACTGTCATTCGTTTCTGAAAGATGGCCAGAAGAAAGCTGGAAACGTTTGAAAGACCACTAAAAGTAATATCTTTAGTCCACAGTGAAATTCATTCAAGTTTTTCATAGCACCATTTGCACTTTCCTCATTGAAGAGGGTAATTTGCCTACCAGTGAGCAAATGCATATGAAACAGAGGCGAAGTAGAACTTCGCACGACTTGTGACACAACACAAACATTAAAAAAAAAACATAAGAAGTCGAAAAAAAGAAAATGTTCGTATGCTTCGATAAAAGATAACATTGTGTGGCAAATTTTTTTTTAATAAAGACAACCGTTTATAAAGATTCACACAATCTATTGTTTCGATTGGACGCAAAGATTTGGTTGGGTAGTTTTCAAGAAAAAAATTCAAAAAACGGTCAAAAAATCTAAAATTTGACTTCTCCGAGGGCCATCCCCTTTCCTATAAACAAAACTGGGTGTAACCGTACTTTCAGAAAAATTTTCCAAAAATTTTCTTTGGTTTGAACCCAAAATCTCAGATTTGGGCAGGTAGTTTTTGAGAAACGTCAAAAAGAATTTAAAAAAAAACTTTCAAAAGTTTTTTGAGGGCCAGAACTTCGTGTAAAAGTGTTTGAGCGTAGCCGCTAATGCAGGGGAGCTCCCTATAACCCTTTCTATTCATTGAACCAAATCTCAGATTTGTGAGCGAAGTTTTTGAGAAACGAAAAAAATCCAAAATATGATCATATATTACCCCCACAGGTTTTTTCGTGGGCTACAGCAGGGTAAAGTAAGAAAAAACTAGTGGTTTATGCAGACACACAGAGTAGTAGGCAGTCTTTCCATTTAAACATTTTTTGAAAATAGAAAGATAAGTTTTCTACCAAACTAAAATTTTTGCAAAAAATGAAAAAAAAATCGAAAACGTCTCAAAAAGAGTAAAAATAAAAAACCCTATCCCACACATTTTCATAACAACTGATTTTGTCAAAGAAGAAATTTTGGGCCTTCGGAACTACACAATAACTTGACAAAACCGATACAACATAAGCCGAAACCGTCAAATTGAAGAAAAAAAATTGAACAAAGAATCCGAAAAAAAAATTAAATTTTTTCAAGATACTTATTTCAAAAAAAAAAATTTATGCCCGAAAAGTACTCCACCTATTTATACGTGAGATACTACCACGATGAGGTAGTTTCTTTCAATTTTCCAAAATTGAACATGTCTTGAAATTTACCATTTCTCTAAAATTTCTTAAAGTGTAAAACTTCTAAAAGCCTCCTAGAAGAGTTCTAAAAGTCTTATACCCGATTGCAATACTTTTGCTTATCACAAGGGTAATGAGCTTAAATAGAAATCAAAAGTCCAACGTCGAAAAAATAAAGTTAGGAAGAACAACTATTATAACTTTTCTGAAGAAAAATGAAAGCATACCATCTACAGATGTGTCCTCACTTTGTTCAATGAAAATTAAAACATTAGAAATAAGAAAGCGTAATCTGTATTCCAGCAAAAGAATTCAAAATGAAAAAAACTAAAATTCATAATTCGTACCGCGAAAAAAAAAATCAGCATTAACGTGTGAAAGATTTTTACATGTTTCACGAGAAACTAAACAGCTAACAGACAGTCGAAAAAATATCACTGAGCTCATGAAAGCCCACAACAACTTTTGACTTAATTGAACATTTTTCACTTTCCGTATTTTCAAGAAAAGTATATCAAGTTTCAGTTGTTGCAATTTCAAATATCTTTTTTCAAATTTTCATAAAATTAACCGAAATTGACAAAACGCGCAGAAGAATTTCTATCACATAATTTCTATCACATATAAATAGATTTGAAGTGAACCTAAACACATTAAGATAATGAAATAAGAAACTAACACAACCCGAAGCTGCACTTAAACACAAGCAAAACAATGGCAATAGTGAGCTTTCAAATAGCAAAAAAATGCAGAAAAAAAACTGACTGAAAAACCTTATAGGTTTTTGTTTTTGCTTATTTAAATTTAAGGGTCACTATTTTTGTAAACTTTTTTCCGAAACAATTTACAGCCTATATCAGTGTCTCCACTACTTTCCTTGACATTTAGCACTTAAGTACGCGAGCGTAACAAATCGACGGATTATTAATTGCGGCCAGTGAGCTGACATCATTAGGTCAATTTCCCACAGCAACTTAAAGCATTGCTGCAGCCCGCCGTACAAGCTCAAAGTTTCAAAATACGCCAAAAATGGAAGTGTTTCCAAAAATGGAAGTTTTTCACTTTTGATTTATCTTGTCAAATTTGCAGTTTTTTCAAATCAGAAAAACATGATTTTTTTGGTCAGTTCAAAAAAATTGTTTAGAGGAACAAAAGAAAGAGCCAGAAACTATCTCTCATCAAACGATAACGATGACCAGTTAATAAATAGTAGCTCACAGATTGCGCTACAGACACTTATAGAAGATTATCTTTGACTTTAAAATTCAGCAAAAGCAGTTAGGTAATATACTTATTGATGATGCAAATAAAAACAACAGACGGCTGTAAAGGGGCCAAAGTAGTTGAGAAAAACTAAAAACTGTTGATTTTTTTAAATAATAAATATTGAATTCCGTAATATGGAAAAACCTACCCTTAAAAATCTTTGCAATTTGCAAAACTTTTATGATTGCCAATTTTTTAAAACATTGGCAACAGACAATGAACGCAAAGAAACAGAAAACTTTCTAATTACCAAGAAGAAAAACATACCCTTAAAGCTCTTCGAATTTAGAGAACAAGTTAAGATTGACTTTTTTGTTTTAAAACTAACCCAATTTCAGACAGCAGTAAGTTTATTTTCTGCTTGGAAATTTGAAAATTAAAATTCTTTGTCTACGCCACAGTATAAAACCTTTTCGCTGCATTTCCGCTCTCGTAATAGAAGTTAAATTCACTTCCTTTTAGCAAATTAACTTTCAGCTAGTTGAGCTTGAAAGGAATCAAAAGTAAACAGCAAAAGATAAAATTTGATCACGCCAATTTTGAAGACTTTCCTGGAAAAAAAAAAACAAGAAACAAATTCATCACGGCCTATATTAGTGTCTCCAAAACGTCCATTGACATTTTCACCGTTTGAAATAACTGGATCAAAAGTTAATTTTATAATTCCGCTGAACATTAAAAACTATCACTTCTAATTTTGGACTGCTTAATTTGATTTAAAATTATTAAATGAAATAAGTGAACTTGAAAAAAGCATAAACACAGAGGCGAAGCAGCTCTAGAAAATGCAATAAGAAAAAATTGAAATAAGCCTCGAATTAGCAAAAATTCGGTTAGGTCTAGGATTCGATCTGCGACCTACTGCAATCAAGAGACTTTGAGTCTCAGGCCCATACCACTCACGCTTAACCACCGACAAACACTAGTCACGAATAAAGCTGCTAACTATGCTAATAAATTACCAATGCTAAAGTGGCACCAAATACAAATAGGCACAAATTTGCAAGTAAAAATTTGAAATTTAACAAACTGAAGGCATTCACGCTAACTTTGCATGTAATAAATCGCAAATCATAAAGCCACATTATGTATAAATTATGCAATTCAAAAAGTTGCGAGATATATTGAGTCAGAAAATTTCTAAATTCGAGTTTTTATTATTGTTATGTTGTTTGAAACAAATAGATTTTTTTCGGTTCATTAGATGAATTTAAAATGCATCAACTGTGTTAACTTAATACTATTCGAATGTCAAAGCACATGTTATCAAAAAGCTGTAAAGGTGCCCCAAAGTTTGCGACTTAGGTTAGAAAAAAAGAAGGTTCTTAATAATACACTAAGCTGACGCTAGTGTAACCAACTAACCGCCAAAAGGAAAAGCGCTTGAACAGATGAAAACAGAAATAAAAAGCAGTAAAAAGAAAAATCACACAAACCAGTAAAGTGAAAACTCAGTTTGTTCATTAACAGGTAAACAAATTACGCTAAATGACAGGTATGATTGACTTCGGGTTCTATTCATTTTTTAGACATCGGATGATGTTGATGACGCGTTTCAACCGTACACAAGATTTTCGTGAAAAAGTTAATTCAGCAATCAGTACTGTATACAAATTGATTATTTTCATTGAGATTATCTATCAAATCTAACATTAGAAGAAGCCTTTAGAAGCATATCAATCAGTAAAAATTGTCTTCAAGTGATTTCATTCAAGGCAACACATCAGTAAATTAAAATTAGTGCTGAAGTTGAAGCAATTCTGAGCACAACTAAACAGGTCATCTGTTATGAAAAAAAAACGTTTTATGCTAGGAGCTCATGTAGAGCTGGAGTTTTATCTATATTGCTAAGATTAAATCAAATTTAATCAACGTCCAATTTAATTTTTCAAACTAATGGTTTTGAGGTGCGCTTATGTACCCACTTTGGTTCTTCGCCGTTGACGGACTCGACTTTCTTTCTCTCATGCTCCTGCGAGCACTACTGATATTCGGAGACTCCTCCCGCTTAGAAGATTGCACCTGATTAGACTGTCTGCTATTGCCAGCAGTGCCTTCATTTGTATTTGTCGCGGATGAATGAGAGGACGCGGAGCTATTCGAATCTCGCTGGTCCCGTCTTTCAGTTTTCTGGATCTGCATGTGCGCTCCTGTAGCCGTCGCTGTCATTCGCAAATTCTCATTGGTTGTTTTTGAGTCCGAACCACCACTTGCAGCTCCTGGCGACATAATAATAGATGACGGACTCAATTTAAACCCTCTCCGATCATTCATTCCTGATTCTGCTCCTCCACTCATCTGTTGCGACAAAGGAGTTTGCTGAGATTGGAATGCTGGCCTGCTTGTTAACTCAGTGTCTATCGTCAAACCCGCAAAATCATTTGTAGTTTTGGCTGTAAAATTGCTTCCGACTCTTTTAGCTGTCGCCGCCGAGTGCTGTTTAAGTCTCTCCGATGGCAGACATTTGAGTACCGGTACTTGTCTAAGATGTATTTCATTCTCCACCTCCGAATCTCTACTACCTGTGATGCTCGTGTCACAAGACACATTCGCCAACTGCATGTTCCAATTTAATCTAGATTGGGGTCGGATATTTGCTGGCTCTGCTTCTGGTTCACATGTCAAAGTACTGTATGTATGGTGACTAAATGATCCTCGCTTCCCGATACCGTCAACATTTGCATCTGTAGAATGACTGTTATTCTCACTTATCGCTGTATTCATCAGGTGTTGTTGAACAGCTTGAGTCTGTGATTGTAAATGCAAATGACAAAGAGCTGCCGATGATACGTCACAGCTAGAGCAGTGATGGTTACACGATGCGTTACTTGAGTGACTCGCACTCGCACTTGCTTCGAATATCCCGCTGTCTCGTGCTGCAAATACACTACATACACATCCACTTGTATTGTATCCGGTACCTCCTTCTGAGCATGTTATACATATAGGCGTGGTCGCATTTCGACCTGTACTGATGTCTTTATCTCTGTTTTTCTCATTTTCGTAGTGATTGTTGCCGTGTCTCCCCATTGCACGCTTGTTTGACTCCGGTACATTGCATGTTCCAGACGCTATATCATACACGTTCTGACACTCGTCTTGGGTAAGGGGAGTCGTTATGAGGTCAGGAAGACTTAGTCTACGGTTTATTCCAATCGCATGTGGTCTGTGTTGAAGATTAGCAGCCGCGGCAGCCATGTAGGAGTTCTGTATTAGCTGCATTGTCGCTGACTGCATTTGACTCTAAACGAAAAACTGTATTTGTAACCCTGGAATTGTTCAATTTTCTAATTAAATCTCAAAGCTCCCCCCGTGATAATAGGGTTGCCAATCCATGATCAATCTTGGAGAACGCTTCGTGAAATCCTAGAATTATGCACCACTACGCTTTTTCAGTTAACTTAATGTTCACAGTGAATTAATGCGATAACAGAATGGACTGACTGGACAAGACATGAGTGTAGATGATGTAGTACCTACCTGTGTATTGTGCAGTTGTGCCTGCAGAGCCTCCCTCTCCTGCTGTGCTTTGGCCTGCAGTCTCTGTTCACTCTCCAGTCGCACAGTCTCCACTCGCAACTCAAACAGGTCTCGCATGTTCCTCAGCTGCACATAACACAAAACAGACGGATCATTTCAAAGATCGTGTGGGTCCTTGCCACTGTCTCCATTTAAACAAAGGCGAATCGGAGTGAGTTACACACCACTTTCGATAGATCACAAATGTAGCATGCCATGCTAGCCAACAAAGTTAGACGAAAACCACTTAGTCAAAAAATTGTTCAGAAAATATCGAAAGCTTGTCAATCAAAATGTTTTTAATTTGTCTGGATGAAGTTATTTTGAGGAAACACATAAAAAACATTCAATAAACTTCGATAACACTTCTTATAAAAACAGCCAAAAACTAGTTGGAAAAGTATTAAGAAGTCAATGAAACCATAAAAAAATATATATCATTTTTCAACTTTCGAAGAAAACATTTTTCACATTGAAGCTCTTCGAATTTCAACAAATGTTCCTGATTCGATTTTCACCCAGAGTTATCCTATTTAGAGATAACTGAATCGTTAGGTAATTTCTTTATTCCACTGGCAATTCAGAACATAGCCAATCGAAGATTGGAAAAGAGCAATGAACACAAGTAAACATAAAAAACACTGTTTTTCTTGAAAAAAAATCTCAACTTTAGAATTTCAGAGAAAAAAAAACAGATGGCCTTTCAGCTCTCTGTACTTCTAGAAAAATTTATGATTGGAGCTTTTTGGATAACATGAACCCAACATGAGAAAACTGGATCAATAGGTAAAGTTTTTATTCCGCTGGGAAATCTTAAAAACAAATTCCACTTTCGAAACTAGAAACCCGTTCAATTTTTTTTCGCGCCATTTCTACGCTCGTATTTGGAGAGTGCTATTTACGTCACTATCAGCTGATGAATTTCAATTGAACTCAAAAAGCGCATTATACCCAAATGCATATTAAACAGATATAGATGCTTCTAAAGTGCCAATGTTATGCGGCAAAAAAATCACCAAATATGAATGAAACTAGTGCTAAGTACTGCGTTAAACCTCCGACCAGTAGATTAGGAGCCTCACGGCCTTCCATCTAAGCCACAGTGGCTCAACGATTGGCAAACTCACAAGCCACAAATAAAGCAGAGAACCGATGCTATGAAAGTTTTATAGCTACAGATAGTAATTATAGCATAACTGCCACCAAATGAGCACTTTTATTAGCGAATAGGCTTGGGAAAAAAGTTGAGTCATATGTTACTATATACTCGCAAGTGTTATCGCATTCAATTCTAAAAACTCGAAGATTCTTTTCAATTTGATTCTTTTTTCTCGGAAACTCGAAAATGCAATTCTTCTCGGTTTCTTGGATTTCTTTGCACTTTTCCCACCATACGTTGGCTATATTTTTTTCAGAAGAGTTATGAGATCTAAAATCAGCATGATCACTGAGCTCACACAGAAAAATTATACGCATCTTATTTTTTATTCTGATAATTTCTGAATTTTCATTACACCAACCGAAATTAAAAAACATCTCGACCTACAAAACTTCGATTCGTGTCAACAACTCGGATCGTAAATACAGTATCACAGCCGTAAAATTGTATTTAGATTCCATCATACCTCTTTGATGAACCGTTTGTCGAATTTCGCCCATCTCGAGTTATTATATTCCAACGAGTATTGCATTTCTTCCAAAACTGCCACTCTGAACCCTTCCAACCTTTGCTCCAAGTCCCACAACTTCTCTGCACACGCACAGTCGCAATCACGAGCCGCATTGGACGTTGGAGATTCACCTTCATTATCTCCCCCATTATTTTCCACACCCTCATTTCCTCTTTTATCTTCGGTTCTATCTCGGTTCCTTGCTTGAGGGTGACGGTACGAAGATGCTGAGGGCGACATGGGTGATGACAGCAACTGGAACGTAGCAAGTGGATCCCTATCTCTGTCTCGGCGTGCATTGGATCTTCTCGCAGATCGAGATTGCTGATGGTCTCGATCTCTATCCCTGTCTCTGCGTTTGGATTTGTGACTTTTCGCGCTCACAGAAGACATGGAGCCTCCTGTATAATAACAACACGCGTCTTCATATCAAAAACAAAAAATTTCAGAGCAAACTGTGAAACCCTGAAAATGATAACAATGATCAGTGATTTGAATACTCACGAATTTTACCTGAAAGAGTTTTAAACAATAAAAATAACTTGTCTTGAATGATTTGGAAAAAATATTTCGTTTTGATTTTCATTTTATATAGACCGGTAAGCTTAGCATAGATTGATTCAAGAAGTGGTCGATCTTACCCAACATCCGTCGGTTTGATCTGCTGAGCTGTCCCCCATTGTGGGAAGTGACATTCCTGTGGTGTCTGCCCGAGTGGGATCTCCTGCCTCCCGAGACCACTGAGGCCCCAGAGGACACTCCCAGTCCCACATTCGCATGATGGGACCCACTGCGCCTCGTCTCATTCCCACTTCTTTCACCTGAACCAGATATTTATTCTTCACTTTCACTATTCAAAAGAAAACTGAAACAAACTTCTTGTTTTAAAGCGATTTCATACTAAGCATATAATAAAACCAAATCTCACGCTTGCAAACCAATAATGTTCAAAAGTTTCCACAAGTCCAAAGGCACAAATTTGGGTTATTCTTCGTTAAGGCAAACTAGCTGTTCAATAAGCGCCGATAAGCAGTCGGTCCTTCATGTTTCTTCCAAACTTCGCTATATCAAATATACGACTTTTTAATTTTCAAACCTAAGTAGTTAATTGATTTGAGCAGAAAAGCAAGATGCAAACAAATACTTAACTTTCATTATGAACCTCCTGATTAACTTTGAAGCTAGCGCAAATAATATTTAATGCATTAAACAGTATCACTTTTTATTCCCGTCAGCGATAATTTGAATAAGTTGAGGTCAAAATAGAAACAGATGCGATGCGGCGCTTCGCACAACTAACGATGTATCAAACATAGCGTGGCAACCTAATCGAGAAAAATGGGTCGAAATAAAAAAAAGTTTTGAAACAAAGATGAAAAAGTAACATCTTACAAAGTTTGTACTTAATAAAATTTCACGATTCTTCTTGAATAAAATTAGAAATTCCGTTTAGCAGCATCGTGTCAAAAGGACAATATTCGTAGCATAAGGATAAAAATAACAAAGCGGTTACTAAACTGAAACTTCCCCTTATCATGAACATATTTTTTTGTCCCCAAAATTGTCCCAGCATGAGGTCATAAAATTCTGCCGAAACCTTTCAAGCCGACTAGACCTTGAAACGAAAACATAGCCAACAGACAGTTGGAAGTGAGTCAATGAACGCAAGAAAATTGAAAAAATCTCTATCGAGTTTCCAAAAAAGATTTCCTTGAAGCTATTTGAAAAGGTAGAACAATTTATGATTGACATTTTTTTTTGATAAAATTACCCCAATTTGAGAAAACTGGATCGATAGTTTATCATTTTCATTTCGCTAGAAAATCTGAAATTTAAATTACAATTTCCAAACAAGAATCCGATCAATTCTTCGTGACCTGTATGCTTTTGCTATTCGATAGTGGAGTTTGCTTTTCATTTGAAAGAAAGTAAAAGCAATTTAAAAAAATCTGAAATCAAACCGTGAAAAAGTAAAACTGAGCCTGAACAGATTTCAAGACTTTTCATGAAAAAAAATCATCGCGACCTATTTAAGATTCTGAACTACATTCATCGACTCTTAAAAAGAAAACGGAGGCAAAGTTGAGCTTCTCACGAATTGCGATACAAAACAAATTTGCCATAGTTACAGCGTAAAGAATTTACTGCAGAAAAATTTCAACTTTTTCAAAAAAAAAACAAAAATAAGTAAATATTACCACTCTCTAACACTCGTTACTATGAAAAGCCACTTGATAAACTCAAATCATGCGAATGAATCATTAGTGAAGAAAGGAAATACTCCAATTATAGCAACCAGAAAAAGTAAAATTTCAAAAACTTGCAATTTCAAGGCAAACTAGCTGTTCAATAAGCGCCGATAAGCAGTCGGTCCTTCATGTTTCTTCCAAACTTCGCTATATCAAATATACGACTTTTTAATTTTCAAACCTAAGTAGTTAATTGATTTGAGCAGAAAAGCAAGATGCAAACAAATACTTAACTTTCATTATGAACCTCCTGATTAACTTTGAAGCTAGCGCAAATAATATTTAATGCATTAAACAGTATCACTTTTTATTCCCGTCAGCGATAATTTGAATAAGTTGAGGTCAAAATAGAAACAGATGCGATGCGGCGCTTCGCACAACTAACGATGTATCAAACATAGCGTGGCAACCTAATCGAGAAAAATGGGTCGAAATAAAAAAAAGTTTTGAAACAAAGATGAAAAAGTAACATCTTACAAAGTTTGTACTTAATAAAATTTCACGATTCTTCTTGAATAAAATTAGAAATTCCGTTTAGCAGCATCGTGTCAAAAGGACAATATTCGTAGCATAAGGATAAAAATAACAAAGCGGTTACTAAACTGAAACTTCCCCTTATCATGAACATATTTTTTTGTCCCCAAAATTGTCCCAGCATGAGGTCATAAAATTCTGCCGAAACCTTTCAGGCCGACTAGACCTTGAAACGAAAACATAGCCAACAGACCGTTGGAAGTGAGTCAATGAACGCAAGAAAATTGAAAAAATCTCTATCGAGTTTCCAAAAAAGATTGCCTTGAAGCTATTTGAAAAGGTAGAACAATTTATGATTGACATTTTTTTTTGATAAAATTACCCCAATTTGAGAAAACTGGATCGATAGTTTATCATTTTCATTTCGCTAGAAAATCTGAAATTTAAATTACAATTTCCAAACAAGAATCCGATCAATTCTTCGTGACCTGTATGCTTTTGCTATTCGATAGTGGAGTTTGCTTTTCATTTGAAAGAAAGTAAAAGCAATTTAAAAAAATCTGAAATCAAACCGTGAAAAAGTAAAACTGAGCCTGAACAGATTTCAAGACTTTTCATGAAAAAAAATCATCGCGACCTATTTAAGATTCTGAACTACATTCATCGACTCTTAAAAAGAAAACGGAGGCAAAGTTGAGATTCTCACCAATTGCGATACAAAACAAATTTGCCATAGTTACAGCGTAAAGAATTTACTGCAGAAAAATTTCAACTTTTTCAAAAAAAAACAAAAATAAGTAAATATTACCACTCTCTAACACTCGTTACTATGAAAAGCCACTTGATAAACTCAAATCATGCGAATGAATCATTAGTGAAGAAAGGAAATACTCCAATTATAGCAACCAGAAAAAGTAAAATTTCAAAAACTTGCAATTTCAAGGCAAACTAGCTGTTCAATAAGCGCCGATAAGCAGTCGGTCCTTCATGTTTCTTCCAAACTTCGCTATATCAAATATACGACTTTTTAATTTTCAAACCTAAGTAGTTAATTGATTTGAGCAGAAAAGCAAGATGCAAACAAATACTTAACTTTCATTATGAACCTCCTGATTAACTTTGAAGCTAGCGCAAATAATATTTAATGCATTAAACAGTATCACTTTTTATTCCCGTCAGCGATAATTTGAATAAGTTGAGGTCAAAATAGAAACAGATGGGATGCGGCGCTTCGCACAACTAACGATGTATCAAACATAGCGTGGCAACCTAATCGAGAAAAATGGGTCGAAATAAAAAAAAGTTTTGAAACAAAGATGAAAAAGTAACATCTTACAAAGTTTGTACTTAATAAAATTTCACGATTCTTCTTGAATAAAATTAGAAATTCCGTTTAGCAGCATCGTGTCAAAAGGACAATATTCGTAGCATAAGGATAAAAATAACAAAGCGGTTACTAAACTGAAACTTCCCCTTATCATGAACATATTTTTTTGTCCCCAAAATTGTCCCAGCATGAGGTCATAAAATTCTGCCGAAACCTTTCAAGCCGACTAGACCTTGAAACGAAAACATAGCCAACAGACAGTTGAAGTGAGTCAATGAACGCAAGAAAATTGAAAAAATCTCTATCGAGTTTCCAAAAAAGATTGCCTTGAAGCTATTTGAAAAGGTAGAACAATTTATGATTGACATTTTTTTTGATAAAATTACCCCAATTTGAGAAAACTGGATCGATAGTTTATCATTTTCATTTCGCTAGAAAATCTGAAATTTAAATTACAATTTCCAAACAAGAATCCGATCAATTCTTCGTGACCTGTATGCTTTTGCTATTCGATAGTGGAGTTTGCTTTTCATTTGAAAGAAAGTAAAAGCAATTTAAAAAAATCTGAAATCAAACCGTGAAAAAGTAAAACTGAGCCTGAACAGATTTCAAGACTTTTCATGAAAAAAAATCATCGCGACCTATTTAAGATTCTGAACTACATTCATCGACTCTTAAAAAGAAAACGGAGGCAAAGTCGAGCTTCTCACGAATTGCGATACAAAAAAAATGCCAGTCCGAGATTCTCACCAATTGCGATACAAAACAAATTTGCCATAGTTACAGCGTAAAGAATTTACTGCAGAAAAATTTCAACTTTTTCAAAAAAAACAAAAATAAGTAAATATTACCACTCTCTAACACTCGTTACTATGAAAAGCCACTTGATAAACTCAAATCATGCGAATGAATCATTAGTGAAGAAAGGAAATACTCCAATTATAGCAACCAGAAAAAGTAAAATTTCAAAAACTTTTTAAAAAGACAATATTTATCGCTTTCTTTGGTTTCCGTTGAAAATGATGCAATACATGCATCATCGGTCAGAATAGCGGCTTTCTGGACGAAATGGCGGCAAATTGCAGACCAAGACAATATCCAGCTCTTTCAAGAGTGCTGATATGAAAGCTCTGCGTAGTATTACCTGAGTAACTTTTAAAGACAGAGTTACTAACGAAACAATAATTAAAATGTAAGGTCTTGCTGATCTGGACAAGCTACAAATGCGACCGGGACTACAATAGTATGGCCATGTTCACGGAACAGAAAATTACCATGCGATAAAATCAACAGATCATGTTTCAGTCCCACGGAAAAGACTAGCAGGAGGGCCAAAAAGCGCTTGATCGATTGTGTTGAACGAGACCTGAATACTTTAGGCCTCAAACCAACAGAGACTGTCTGGACCGAATCGCATGGAAAACGTGTTATCCTTCAATTAATTGCTTGAATGCTATTCGGAATGCCCTCATCTGAACCATTGCTTACCCGCTTTCCGGATATCCAACCCCGCCACAATAGGAAAACGGACAATAAACGCATTAGTAGTAGTCGTCGTCTTCGGAATAAAAGAAGAATGCACAGACAAAATCAAAAGTTTCGAAAACTACTCCAACTTAAATTAAACAAAGTAGAAAAATGAAACAATTTCAAAATATGACAAACAATGTCAGAAAAACTTCTTGCTAAGTAATGGTCGAGAAAAGTCAAAAAACAGTTTAAAACAATCAAATTTTGACTTTTCCGAAAGCCATAGTTTGTAGGCTAAAAAAATTGAGCGACAAACGCGTATTCAAATGAGTTTACCACAGCCAGTTCTTTGAAATGAACTCAGATCTCAAATTTGAGAGGGTATTTTCCGGTGAAGTTGTGAGGTTTAGGAGGCTAGTTTTCGAGGAAAGCTGGAAGACGTAGCTGTTATGGAGAAAAACTATTCAAGTCCGTTTTTTTCAATGAAAACGAAAATCTCAGATTTTGTAGTATAGCTTTTGAGAAAATGAAAAAAATCGAAAATATTGGTCAAATATTTACCCCACAGACTTATGCGAAGACTGTAGACAAAGGGGTAAAACAAAAAGAGAACAGGGGAGCATACAGGCACGCAAGAACGTAGGTGGATTTTCTATCAATACCCCTTTTTCGAAAGTCGGCGGAAATGTTTCGAGGAAAAGTTATTATTTTTGAAAAAGTAATAAAATTTTCCTAAGCGTACCAAAAAAGAAAATAAAAATATCAAATCCCATACACTTTTATAATACATGTTTTTATCATATAAAAACTCTAGGCAAACATACCAGGCAAGACACTTGAAATTCACATTAGCAACGGAACAAAACTTACCAAGCGGAAACAAGGCCGACAATCTTCGAGCAGACATCAGTTGAGTCGAAAAAAAACTTATTTTGTAAAAACATCAAACAGTTTCAAATCCTCCCGAAACTATCCTACAATAACCATTTATTATGCAGTTGTTACCTCTTTGTCAGGTTTGCTGGAGATTGAGCATGACAACACGTGAGTGGAGTGCGCGTGAATGAAGTCTACTGATTCAAGTGATTTTGTTGAACTACTTTTTAACGCTAAAAAAGTCAATACTCCGATTTGATAACGCTTGCTAACGTAGCTGGTATTTGCACAACTAAGAGGAAAAACCAATTACTTGCCCAAAACGGGAATACACTAAAATAATTTTTTTTTAAGTTCGAGTAAAAAATAAAACATAGCCAATCGAAGATTGGAAAAGAGTAATGAACGCAAGTAAACATAAAAAAACATTGAGTTTGTAGAAAAAATCTCAACTTTCGGATTTCAAAAAAAAATTTAGATACCTGTTAAGCTCTTCGAATTGAATTTCTAGAACGATTTATGATTGGCGCTTTTTGATAACATTAACCCAACTTGAGAAAACTGGATCAACAGGTAAAGTTTTTATTCCGCTGGAAATCAAAAAATTAAATTCCACTTAATTTTATTCCACAGGAAATCGTTCACGTTTTTTCGCACCATTTCCACGTTCGTATTTGGAGAGTGCTATTTACATAACTTTCAGCAGATGAATTCAATTGAACTCAAAAAGTACACATATACCTAAACCCATTCATAAATGAATCATTACGTATGAATGCACATCTGTAGTTATTAGAGACTTTTGTGCACATCTTAAGACTTTTTCCCGATAAAAGAAACAAAAACATCAGCAAGACCTATATAAGAGTCTTACTACAATCATTACTCTTAAACAGGCGAACAGAAGTCCGACAAAGACTCTGTTAAACTAGTTACCCCAAAAAAATTCTATTATCTATTTTGATAACGCTTGCTAACCGCATGCGTTAAAAGTCAAATGGAACTGAATAAAAAATTGTCTGTGAAGCGATAACTAAAATTTTCATCTACTTAACTCGGTTCTTTGGAATTTTTAAAAAATGACCGATGGTGGATTTTGTTTCTTTCTCGCCAAACTTAAAATTATTCGCGGGGAAGCATTTGAGAAATTGTCTCAATGACAAAAGAACGTCTGCAGTGAACATTTAAATTAAAAAGTAGAAAGCTCAAATCAACATACCTCCTCTACTTCTGCTCCTGGTGCTGTTGCTGGCCCGTCCCCTACTCCTCGTTCTATGTCTGTTCCTGCCACTGGTGCTCCTGCTTCCTCTGCTCTTGCTACTTCTACTACAGTTGTCTCCGAAGTTTGACAGACTCTCCATCTGGTGTTCCTAAACAAAACAAAAACATCTTAACATTATTTACAGGCCTAAAATTACCGGAACCGACCGAAAAATCAGTTCTCCATACATGCGTTTTGCACAGTGAAATTGTTTATCAAATGGTAAATTTGGACAAATATTTTGTGGGTGAAATTACATAAAAGCCAGCATAACATGGGTTAAATAGTCTGGAGTACATCAAACTTATCCTATTTCTATGCTGCTCTACCTACGGTGAAAACTGACGAGATTTGAAAAGAGGTCCACTACTACAATTAAAATCGAAATAGCAACACAAGGAGTCTATACATAAAACTATTCATGGAATGAGAAACGAACCTGATTCAAACCAACGAGAAGCGTTGTTGGCCGAGGAGGCGCTTTCTGTTGCTGCCTTGCCTTTAGAAAAGCACAGAAAGACATTTTGTTCAGTTTCTGTTTTTATCAAACAGAAAAAACTTCTTAGACAGCCCTATTAGGCCAGGTAGATACAAATAAGATTTTCGAGGAAAAAATGGTTCAAAATTTCTAATCGAAATATGAGAGATTAGACAGCAGATATATCTTGGATTTGCGTGTTTCGAAAAGTGTTGACCAAGTGATCAAAAAAATGGGGTAGAAGATAAGAGGGAATCCACTCCTAATCGGAAATGAGGAGAGAGGGAAAATGGGAGAGAGTGCATTATGGAGTGGTGTCCCCTCGAATTCTAATCTATCGAGCTGTATCTTTTCCTGTCACCTGATGAGGGTCTGAGAGAGGCAGAAAAAAGAAGTAAAAGAATGGAAGAATTGGGAGGCATTATGATAAATCAAAATACATACTGCACTCCAAACAAAATTAAAACCTCACACAATATTCCCAACTAGAGCAAAGTAAATAAGTCTTTAAGGAGCGGTTACAAAAACTAGACGAGTTACGTTGAGATTAAACTGCAACTATATTGTTCTATTTAGACCTTAAGTAAGACTTTCAGTCTGAAATTCTTAATGAACCATTTTTAAGTAAAATGTAGATATATCTTGAGACGAAAACAACTTTCACCAAGATGTTTATTTTTGACAGAGTTGACACACTTTTCAGTTTAGTTAAAGCAATTAGTAAGGCTTTGAAGAGCTGGGCAAAATAAAATGAAAAAGAAAAAAGTGGTATTTCGTGCATTTATAAGTATGCATTTGTGGATTTCGCCCATAAACTCAGGTGCACTTTTTGGTCACACTTTTGAAGTGATGAGACGTCAATGTTGGCAACAAATTGGGCTCCCAACGACCATCAAACAAGCGACGGAAATCAATTCATTCATAGTGGTCGCTAGGAGTAATTGCGACAGGAAAAACTTGGACAAAAATGAAACACAATTGAGATTGATTTGCATTGACAAATCCAACTCGCCTGCGTCTACATTCTTTTAATTGAAAAACTGGCCTTGAATAACAGACAAATCCTACGAGCTCTTTTCAATTAAGGAACAAAAACCCAATTCTTGCCAATATTCACCACTTGACTGTCGAAGGTTGAACAAAAAGGATCTATAGGCCTTTAAGCTAAACCCAATTATAGCAATTCCATCGTAGAGTTTCCGCTTTTTTCTGCTTTGTTATTCTAGGAAAGGGTGTTTAAGTGGCAACTACGTCCGCATCAGTCGCGTGCGCAGAAATTTCTTTGGAAATGTTGAAAATTTTGTCGACCTTTTTTTGGTCAACCAATTTGATTCTCCGAGTTCTCCAAAAATACTATTAGAACCGTATTTTGTGAAACATTTTTGGGCCGCACGCAAATAAAAACAACAGGCAAAAAAATCACGTTTTAAGCACTTTTTGAAAAAACTTGACCAAAAAATTGCTTTTTTTGGCGCGCGCTCCCCCTCAAATTTAGTTATATTGGCGGCCTTTGAAAATTTTTGAGGTTGGCCAGCCAAAAAAGGATCTCGTAAAATTATACCAACGAGGAACCCTTTGGAAAAACTGGCAACCAGAATTGAAGGGAGGCGGTCGCCGCCAACCTTAATCTCTAACCAACTGCTGTTTTCATAACACTACCTTCGCACGTACTCTGACAAAATTACATGTCAGCAATTAATGCCTTTAAATAAAACGGATACAGCTTCTGCTTACTGAAATCACCAAATACAAGCTAAGCTTCATAAAAATTGATAACAATAGTTGAACACAAAATTTTTAGACCTAGTTTAGAAAACGTGAACCAACCCTTATAAAAAACAAGCGTTGCATGTAAAAAAATTTATAAAAACGGTGCAAACAAAAATCTACACGCATTTCCTCATTTCGAGGAAAATTTAAAGCTAACAAACCCCTAGCAAATTAAAACTTGGAAAAACTTTACACTATGAGAGAACAGAATGAGAGAAAGCATCTAAAACCTCAAGAAAGGCAGAAAAAGTCTCTCCAAGCCTTAAAATCTAATTTGCGAACATTTTTTTGGCTTTTGATAAGGGTTCTGATTATCTGTAGTTTTTTGAGAGGGTTCTTGCTTGACACATAATCAAGTCATTAATACGAAAGTTTTGGTAGATCAATGTTTTTGACAATTTTTCAAAAAAAAAAAATCGGTCAAAGGGTTTCTTCTCAGGTGTTTTCGGCTTTGTTACCAATGCCTTTCTAACGATGCCAATTTCACCTGCGATACGATACAAGAAAGCTGCCAAGTCAGAACAGAATTTGAAAACAAAATAGAAACTCTCAAAAAGTAGATCTTTCAAAATAAATAGAGGTACTTTATATAACAATCCAAAACAAAAGAATGTGAAAATGGTATCGTTAGAAAGGCATTGGTAACAAAGCCAAAAAAAAAACCTGAGAAGAAACCCTTTGACCAATTTTTTTTTTTGAAAAATTGTCAAAAAACATTGATCTACCAAAACTTTCGTATCAATGACTTGATTATGTGTCAAGCAAGAACCCTCTCAAAACACAAAGCCGACAATGCTTGCAAAGACATAAGTTGAGCCAAAAAAACTCTCAAAAACTAGAGAACAGGAGGCGAAGCTGAGCTTCGCACCACTAGCATTTTATAACAAGAAAGACGCTACGACGAAAAAAATTAGATCTATCGAGCTATTTTTGAAACCAAAAACAAGCCAAAAAAATAGAATGGTAAATTCGCATCCAAACAAGATTTACTAAAATATCCGAAACAGAAAATAAAACAAAAAAGCCGAAATTTTTTTAAAAAAAGTTCAAGACTAATCAAAGGTTAATAAATCTCCCTCACCCTCAAACACACACAAACTTATGGCCCCTCAAACAACACAATATGATGACACTCAGCTGATATATAGGCCGAAACTTTTTAAGCCGAACGAAAAATGAAAAAGCCGACAAAAATTCAAAAATATGAAAACTCGTTACATACCATCATTTTAATGAAAACAGTGAAAAACAGTGAATAGAAAAGTAGTTCTAGATCATTTATTCTAAATTATCAGTAGCCTTCTATTCAAAATTTGATTCGCGCAGTAATTAGTTAATTCATATCTTTGTTAATTAATTCGTTACAGAATCTAACTGAAGTAGCGTCACAAGTTTACAATTTCAATACAAGCAAATTTTGATCACAACTAAAACGCAAATAAAAAACATTGAGGGTTCCAACTGGAACTCAGTCCCCATGGCCTGGATGAGATTTTGCGCTCGAGGTGCGACCTTGTACGTTTTAGGCTCACTGGCGTTTCGGTCTTCAGTGCCATTCAAAGTAGGCTCACTGGCATTTCGGTCTTCGGTGACATTCAATGAGGTAGAATCTGTGCGGTTCCTCTCTACAGTAACATTCGAATTCACCACTGTCATGTTGTTTTCAGACCCATATCTATCCGTTAAATTTTGCTCCGTAAACTTTCCTATTAATCCACCAGCATTATTGAAAATCGATGACCTTCTTGCTCTTCTAGATTCACAGTCGGGGTCAAACTGCAACTTCTCCATGTCAAAACATGGTCCACTGGAGGCATGATTTGACTCGGACTGTTTATTTTCATCAACCATTGCATTTAACGTTTGATAGTCATCTTTCGAGCGAGGTTCAACATCTCGAATATGTCGACTAGTTCGACTAGACCTCCTCGCTCTCAATACACACACACACACACACACACAAACATTTTTGATCGTCGAACGACGCAATATGAGGCCACCAAACGAAAGAAAAAACTCAAAAAATTCAAGGCTTCTAAAAGCTTCTAAGTCCCCTCACCCTCAACACACACACACGCACACTTTTTCTCTCGTCGAACGAGGCAATATGCGGCCGCTAGGCCAATATAACAGTCCGAAACTTATTAAGCCGAACTAAAAAAAAATAAAAAAGCCGACAAAAATTCAAAAAAATCTTTGACTAATTTTGAGGTGTGACGTCCCTCTCACCCTCAACATACACACAGACTTTTTCTCTTGTCAAGCGAGGCAAGATGCGACCACTAAGCCAAAACCTATCAAGTTCAATTCGAAAAAAAAGAAATGTGAAATTTTGACAATTCGAGTTGGTAAAATTACAAACGACTTGGAAAAAATTCGAACAGGGCAGATATTCAAAATGCCAACAAGCAAAAAATATATCTGTAGCTGTAAATTGGTTGCGAAGAGGCTTCGAGGAAATGAGTCCTGAGAATAGTCTGTGAACAAAGTTGGTTACGGGAAAAAAGAATATTATCCGATTGCAATACCCTTGCTTATCGCAAGTGTAAAAACAAATTGGGAATTGAACGGTCAGTTTAAATGCAAACATGCTCAAAACAGTTGTCCGTTAGGTGACTCAAGTACTTTTTTTAAGACTGTATTAAAAGTATAACACCCGGTTTATTGCAACGGTAATTATAATTAAATTATAAAACAAAATACCTTCTAGAAACGTTTTTGAAACTAGAGTTAATTGTTAATGAACATCAAACACGAAAAGGTTGAAAAAATATATGAAGTTAGGCTAATCGATTTTAAAAATTCATTTATGGTCAACAATTTGAAAAAATTAAATCGATAATAAATCTTCAGAGAATTTACAGAGGCGAAGTTGCACTTCGCATACACAAGCAAAAATATGACCGATAGCGCTACTGGGAAAAACTGAATGAGTAAAACTTTGAGTCTACAGAACTTCTTAAGTGACGCAGACCAATTATGAGTCTTTATAATTGCTAACTGACGCAAGCCAATTCTGACGCATTAGCAGTACCAGTCAGTTTGAAAAAAAAAGAAATTTACCAACTAACATGCCTCAATTTATAGAGCCGACGCATTTTAACAAGTATACAATAAAAGTTATTTCAAAACATCCGACCCTGCTAACCTTCGAACCCTCTTATTTTGTTGCTGGTCTCCTTCCCTACCTCTACACTACAGATCCATGATACCTTGAAGCTGAAGTGCTATTTGTAATATAAAAGTCTGTGTTAATATCCTTAGCTGTACTGGTTATTGATCGAAATGAAAACTTTCAAAATCAACTTTTTCGTAAAAAATATTGCATGGCAACAATACTTGCGACTTAGGTTGGAGAAAAAGAGAGCTCATACTGTAAACAAAATAAAAGCAACTTTAGAAACAAGTAATTAATTTCTTTGCTCCATAGCCTTTTAGTCAGAAAACCATAGAGCAATTAAGATCATGTCATTTAAAAATAATCCGATGTCAAGCCGCCGTGCATAAAAATTGAGCGCAAAAACTAAGGTTCTTTTTGGATAAAACAAAATAGCCAATCGAAGATTGGAAAAGACTCATGAACGCAAGTAAACATAAAAAACGCACTGACTTTGAAAAACCTCAACTTTCGGATTTCAAAAATCATAGATACCATTGAGGCTCTTTGTTTTTCTAGAACGATTTATGATAGGCGCTTTTTTGAAAACATTAACCGAACTTGAGAAAACTGGATCAACAGGTTAAGTTTTTATTCCGCTGGAAATCTAAAAATTAAAGTCCACTTTCGAAACTAGAAATAGTTCACGTTTTTTCGTGCCATTTCCACGTTCGTTTTTGGAGAGTGCTATTTACGTCACTTTCAGCAGATGAATTTCAATTGAACTCAAAAAGTGCATTATACCTAAGAGCATCAATAATTTAAGACTCCCCTGAAAAAAATCAGCAAGACCTATATAAGAGTCTTCACTGCGTTCATTACTCTTAACCAGAATTCATATAATAGTCTCAACGGTAAATATAATCAAATATTAATTTAAGTCTGTAAACAATTTTCACGCAATTTGTTCGCAAGTTATTGATTGTCTAAATCGGACAACCAGTATTTACTCAGCCACAAGATAATTTAAGTCTGTAAACAATTTTCATTTAATTTCAAGCAGTTATTGTCTAAATTCCGTTATTTTCTGATCGTCTAATTTCCTAAACCCCTCAAATAACAAAGCAAAATTCGATTGTTTTTCAAAAAAAAGGACTTCCAGAAAAGTTTTTGAAATTAGAGTTATTTGTTAACAAACGCCAAACCGAAAAAGGTTGAAAAAATATATGAAGCAAGGCTATTAGATTTTCAAAATTCATTTATTCTCAACACTTTTTGATAAAACTATTGAGTATGAAAAAAATAGATCGGTAAGTTATCCTTGTATGAGCGAAAAACTACTTTTATCGTTAACGAACAAAAAACCGCACGCTGCGAAAAACTACTTTTATCGTTAACCTTGTAATGAACAAAAAAAACCGCACGCTATGAATAGGAAAGGTCAACTTTTTTTATTAAAACTCTAAAATTGGATCAAGTGATTTTTGATTCCACGGGGAAATATGAAAATCAAACTGTACCTTTGAACTAAACTAAAGCTTCGTTTCTCGTGTCATATGAATTTTTGTTACAGGAGAGCATCATTTGACATCAATGCAGCAAATGATTTCGAAAATACAAACAGGCTAATTACAATATTGCGCGTACTATACATTGGAAAAAAAATAGACTTAACGGTCAAAACGCCCAAACAAACGCCTAAAACACTTCTAGTGCCTTTGAAAAAAGAGCAAAACAATATTCACTAACGCTTCAAACCTTCATTCGCCGTAAAGCAAATTCACTATACCAAATACAGCGTTTAAGATCACAATATTGCCAACAATTCCAAGCCATTCGCTCTCGCTTTAATAAAAAAAAGCAATTGGCTTAATTTCGATTTTGTAATTCGAATTTGTATACAAAAAATTGTTCGAAATTGACATAATACTCGCTTTAATTAATCTGGTTTGTTTGAGCATTTTGCAGCTTATTATAGAGTTGCAAAAAATTCGAATAAACAGAATTAATTGACGCAGAAGCAAAGCGGACGTTCACAAAACGTGTGATACATACCACAAATTTACAATATATTACAAGATATTGAATCGAAAAACAGACGCAAGTCGAAATCTTTTCTGAAAAAGTAAGTTGAAAAAATGATTTGAAAAAAAAAAGATAAAATTACATCTACAAAAACTTCATTTTTCCATTGAATAATGTTCATGAACAGCGTTAAAAAGCATTGGGAAACATTTACCGAGCGGCAAGTAAGGCGACAAATTGTAGGTCGACCCCCTGTTGAGCCGAAAACAAAGCTGTTTTCTTAAAAAAATTTGAAATAAGTTTTAAGTTTTTACGACCCATCCGTTCTGAAACACAATAGCATTATAGAACAAGATGCCCTCAAAATTATGCAATCCAAATTGACCGAGCCGATATAGCATAAACCGAAACTGTTTACTGCGAAAAAAATATATATATTCAAAATCAGAGTTGGAAAACTTACATATTACTAAGCTTTCAATTATTGTTTAAAATTGCTGCATTAAAAAAAACAATTATTCAAGCAGTAAGCCAATAAAAACCGTAGCAGATAAAAAAATGGCATTAAAAACAAAAAATGAACCAACAGAACTATGACGAAAAACACGAAACCGGAAAAATCAACGTTTTTCAAGAAATTTATTGAAAAAACAACTATTACTTAAAACGAACTTCACGTAACTATTACCTAAATGATGATAGCTTTCTTTACTTTTGATCAAGGTTGTCTAAAAACTCTAATTTGCATATAAAAAGTTACACAGAGAACAGATGCTATGCAATTTCTAACGCTACAGTGAAAGTTCCAAAGAAGTGAACACTTTTATTTGCGGTAGGTTTGAGTTAGGTTAGAAAAAAAGAAGATTCGTAATAATAGACTACGCTGATGACTAGTGTAATGAAGGATTTGTTGATTGCTTTTTAAATTATTTGTTTATCCAAATTGTTGTTACTTAGATACTCACCAGATCACATTGCGGTGATTCGTTTTGGTTCGTTCCCTGCTGTTCCCCTGATGCATTCTGCTGTTGCAGCTGCTGCTGATGGTGGGCGTACTGCATTTGCATTTGGTACATATGTTGCTGCTGTTTCTGGTACAATTCAAACATCTGCTTTCTGCTCAAACCACTTGCAACCTCCGTCCGTCTTGCGTTCTGTGGACCTAGAAAAAATTAGAAAGGGCACTGCACTGCACAAGCGAAAAACAACAACAAAAAAACGCTGACAACACTGAAAAAAATTTTTAATGCACAATAAATCTTAGTTTCCATGATCGACTCAACGGACTTCGGGATCCAAATTCATCGCATTAAATCTGGGCTATATCTACTTTATAACAACAAGGTTGATTTGTTCTCAGCTATTTTGACCTAGTTTATACTAATTGCAGCCTTTCGCAAAGAGATATACAGGAACGTTCCTACCCTAAGCCATTTCTTCTTCTGAAGCTAATTTCTTAAGTACTGCTAGTGTTTTACCCGAGGGTCGATGTGGTTGCATGAGCATCAGTTGCTGATTGAAGGCCAGAGCAGCAGCAGCTGACATCATTGAGGCTGCGGATGTTGTAGTAACTGGAGATGCAGACATATTCAAGTGTTGCTGCAGCTGTTTTTGCTGTTGTGGGGTGAGGTTGTAGGGAAGTCTGGTGGATTGACTGCTCACATTGTATTTACCTCTGTTTGAAATGGAGGGCGAGCAGGACATGGGTCTGCGTATAGGCACTCTGGGAGCACCAAGAACAGGTTGGAAGTCCTCCTGAAATCAGTTTATGCAAATTGAAAATTTACTTTCAAAATCTGAAACGGTTAATGGAAATGTTCGCTTGTTATTATGGGCCAAAGAGTTCCTTGTTAAACTAAATGCTTACACCAACTTGTCACTTACCTCATAATATCATGTGCGTTAAGCTACACCATGATTATTCCTTTGTTCATGATAACATCACAATTTTTTCTTGTCCTTTGTTGCTTGTTAAAAAAAAATCTAACTAACAGCATTGGAAGAGTCACGCTCATTTCCTGAGCTTTGATGACCGACTGTCATTCTACTACTCTCATGTCCCGACAGACTTGGGTCCGACATCAACATAGTCGCAAGTGCAGGCGACATTGCCCCTCCACTATTTTCCCCTTGAGTCCCGCTAACAGCAGCCCTCGGACTGTTGTTGTAACTGTAATCCATATTCCGAGAAATAGGGTTCATTTGATGTTGACCACTGGAATCGCTAACCGCTCCTTCCGTTTCTGCTGAGCCGCGGTTATAAAGTTGTCTTTGCTGTTGTTGGGTACTTGTAGGCAAGTGGAGATATTGTGACATGGCGTTATGTCTAGGTGACATTTGATACTCGTACTGACATTGTGCGTTACCACTGAAAGATAAAAAGCAGGGTAATTTCAATAAAAACAATATTTACCCAGATAAGCATTTATTAATCTGATGGATTAAACTGACTCATAACTATTAACTTAAAAGAGACCGCTTTTTACATTTGACCATTTATGTTTTGAAGATTCAATAAAGTTATAAACTTACAAGAACCTACACGTGGTTTTGAAAAACAATTAAAGAGCACCGCGAGATTCGAACCTGAGTTGTGGCGCTTCCCAAATGAACTCCTCCTGGCCTCCACCACTATCTTGACAAACAGATCCCGATGCCATAAGATGCAAGTTCTGTGCATGCAGCAATGATGGATTCCCAAAAACTGTTTGATGCTGCTGCTGCTGTCTAATGCTACTTTCTGCACTTGACCCTTGTTGACCTCCTTTTTGGTTGGATGAGGCGGAAGCGGCGGCGTTGGAAGCTCCTGGGAAGATGAGGCATTTCATATTGGATTTGTTGAACTAAAACACAAATGAAGTTAGACCAAGCGGTAAAAAAGTAACAGTGTTTTCAATATTTCGATTAACGACTGCTAAGTTTCAATAGAAAAATTAGTTTTAACAACTTTAACCAATCTTTCTAAAGGTATCATTCTTAATATGCAGCTCAGCCACCGTATTTCGATTTTCATCAATGCAAACGAAAAAAATTATTCCCATCTCCCATTATGACCTACAATTCTACCACCAATTTTCCTCTTCATTTTGCTGATGTTGATTGACTGGCTCTGATGTGTGAACAAAAGCTACACCAATTAGCAGTGACAAGCATAGCAATTAAAATGCCACGCCTACTAGAAACTACCTCGAATTCAGTCCCAGCTAGTTGTATAGGGAGGGGTTTAAGGCGCACGCACTGAATGCTGATTCATACACCTGCCTCAGAATAAAGAATATTGCAAATTATCAATGTATTTCTTCTTATTATTATTATTTCTGGTACAAAAGAATTAAATTTAATGCTAAATATTGAAACAAAAATCAGCATAACTAAATCAAACTGCGCTCTACCTTCCCACCTGAATTGTTTAAAAATGACGCTGTTTTAGTTTCAGCTCAAAGCTTATTATCGGTAATAAAATATGAAAGCCGGAAAAGCGTTATAAAATTTAGGACACCTAGCATCTAGGAAAGTTGCCTTAAATTCCAATTTTGGAACAAAACTTACTGCATTTACTGTAAGATCTAGAAAAAGAGGCTTGATGCAAAAAAAATGAAGCAGCATATTCAGGGTTACCAACTGGTCGCCGAAAAAAAAGGTTACTTAATCAAAATCTACCGAAATCATCAAAATGAACAAAAAAACAAGTTCCCTAAGAACTAAAAATACCCTGGTTTGGCCAAATTGTCTGCGCCACAGGCAGATTTTGAAAAAGCAGGCAAAAAAAGCGTTTTTTCGACGCGCGCTTCCCCCTAAAAATAAGTATAAATTGGCGCAGCGCCGATAGCGCCTTTAGAAAAATTTAGGGGGTCCGTTAGCCAAAAATGGATTTCTCAAAATAGTTCAAAGCAGGGACCCGAGGAGTTTTGATGTACTCTTGACTATAAATAAAATAGTGACCAGTAAAAAAGTAGAGAGCTTTTAGAGACCAATAGTGACCGTTCAGTATAATGGAGACCATTTGGTAACCCTGAGCATATTAAAAAAACAGCTGTAACTGCTTCAAAATTGAAACAAATTGCAATTACTTTAAAACTAATAAGCTGCAGGAAATGAATGAACAAATAAAATACTATATGCCAATATCCAATTAATGTGGACAAAAAATCAGCATTCAAAACTAATCATTTCTCGAAAGAAAGAATTGCTTGGCGCTGTGAATTGTTGTCCACAGCAGAAAAGAAAACAGCTAACAAATCTTGCCCATAACTTAAAACTGGCTATATTTCCAGATAAAAAAGGAAGCAAACCAAACCACACAATGTGTTAAAAAGTGGTCGCAAATGAATCAACTAAATAACAAAATTATGTCTCTGTGATCAAAAAAAATAGTGAAAGAGAAATTCCTGACGAAAAAAAAATAGATTAATCATAAGACAAGCCGAAGCAAAACAGATTTCCGCTCTTTCCTTGTACACCCGTTGCAAATTATGAATCACTATAAAAAGGTAACAGTTTTTAGTTAGTCTGGGAGGCTACAATCGGAAACAGCCCAATTGAGAATAATAATTTGAATGAAGACATTACACAAAAAACTTGTCTATTAAAAACGAACAAACAGGCAATTATTAGGAAGGACCGCAATTCGACGCCATGCCGACAATTTGACGCCATGCGGTCCTTGGCATGGCAAAGACCGCAACTTGACGCCATGCCGACAAAGTTTGGGAAAAAACGGCTGCTGTGCAAGTAGCACCGAATGTACACTTACAAAAACTCAAAGAACTTTTTTTGATTTTCATTTGGATTTTTTTTTCAAATATCCTAACATTTTCATGGAAGCAGTAGTGGGATCATTATAATGAATTTGAGAGAGCTCAATCATAAGTCATTCACTTTATCACGATATTTGAAACAATGTTTTTGCACTTTGTTCGTTTTGTTCAATCAAATAAAAAAATGATTGAATTTAAAAAAAAATTATTGAACTTTTCGTTTTACGGAAAAAAGAGATCTCTGAAAACTATGATAAAACTGGACCAATAAGTAATTGTTTTTATTCTTGTGCGAAAACTTGAAGTTGAAATTCACATTTAGACACAAGACAGGACGTTTTTCACGCCTTTTGCACTTTTGTTATTGTTGAGCGTATAAGCCTTCATTTCGCAAAAGAATTGGAAGTGATTTTGAAAACTAAACAAAAGTCAAACAGTCAAAATGAAAAATTGAGCTTGAATATTTCAGGGAAAAAAATAAAATCTCAGTGCTTGCACTTCGGTTATTGTCACTAAAGCAAACCTAAGAAAAAAAAACTCACTGCTTTCTTTAAATCAATCATTCAGAAAATAAGTAAATTGAGTGTGAACAATTTTGAAATTTTGGCTGAGAAAAAAAAACAGCCAAACCTAACGACCAAGAAAAATTTGATCTGACTTTCACGTTCACATAATATGCTGGGTAATATATAAGATTTATCATGAGCTCCAAATTTGATACATATAAAATTGATTTTTTTAAATAAAAAGTTTCGCAGTATACACTTAATAACATTAAATAGACAAGTCGAAAAGAGCCAATAAACGCACGTAGACATAAAAACACATGCTTGTTTTTTTTTAGTAAATCTTGACTTTGGAATTTCAAAGAAAACATAGATGGCCTTACAGCTCTTTGAAATTCTAGAACAAGTTACGAGGGTCTTATTTCATAGAAATAACCCAATTTGAGAAAACTGGATCAATAGTTTAAAAAAAAATTTCGCTGTGCAATCTGAAAATTTAATTCCACTTTCAATCACGTTTTCAAAACTAGAAGTAAATCACGTTTTTGGTGACGTTTACACTTTTGCTGTATCATAGTGGAGTTTGCCTTCTTTTTACCAAAGGAAATGAACTGAACGTGAACAGAAACAAAAATTCAAACCGCGAAAAAGTAAATTTGAGCCTGAGAAATTTTGAGTTTTCCTTAAAAAAATCAGCACGACCTATATAAGAGCCTGAACTAAATTTCTCTGTGCTTAATAATAATGCTAAAAAGCCAATGATGCTGTATAAATTGATTTTTTTAAAATTAATATTCTCTTTTTGAGTTTTAGCAATAAATAAAACTTTGAAATACTTGACTTAAATTCATGATTTCTATGATTGATATTTTTTAGATGAAACTAAGCAAACATGAGATTACTGGATCGAAGTTTTTTTCTTTGCGTTGCTGAAGCTTCAAGTTAAAATCCACGTTAGAAACAAAATAACTCGCCTTTTCTTACGTCAGTTGCCCCCTTTAAACAACTGAACTTGACTTAGGAACCTGGAGGAAATCAAAGGTCAACGACGAAAAACGGATGAGTATAAACATTTTTCACGATTTTTCCAGTGGGAAAAACTAAAACAAATAAAAGCCTTCAAATTTGTCCATTGACACTAAGACGCTGTCTCTTTTGCTGTAAGAAACATCGGTTATAAGAGAAACAGAATTTGAACCCATTTTGATTTCTTTTCAACAGTTTCGTTGTTTCGATAAAGCACTTACGTTTCAAAAAAACTACAGCGAAAACGATTTAAGTTTCAAAGAGTACCAACGCATGAGTTATACATATTTGACAAAAAAAATCAACAAGAGACTGAAAACCAATAAAAAGTTAAGAAGTCCCACTTGCCCTCAATACACGAAACAATATTTGCTAGTCAAATAAAAAATAAGTCCACTAAACCGATATATAGGCCCTCTATTAAGCTGAAAAAAAAATCAAAGCTAGAAAAGTTCACAAAAAAAAGACTAATGAAAAATTATTAAGCCCCCTCTCACTCTCAAAACAAACACATGCAAAAACACTAAAGCAGCTGCAAGTTAAATACGTAAAGCGAAAAAAAAAATAACTCTGCCAATTAAGCCGACAAAGCAAAAGCAGACATTAATAAGACGCCATAATTTTTTGAAAAAGTCCTGTTAGATTCGAACCAAGGACCTTTGTCGGCCCAGGCATAATCGTTACCTCCAGACCAACTGTCCCAGAGACGCACATACATCAACTGAACCTAAATTCACCATTTCTAACTTTGATCATTCTGGGAACAAAGTTTTTTGCTCTGGGAACAAAGCTTTTTGGGGGTAAAGTCAAGTACCCGATTGCAATACCCTTGCTTATCACAAGAGAATTGAACTTAGAACTTAGAGTAAAATTCTCAAACAAGATAAGTTTTTGTTTAAAAAAATGAAATCGAAAAGTATAATATTTTGAATTTACATAATTATATCCAACCACACACTATCAAATACAAAGTGATGTATTTAAGGTCTCGTATCGTAATTATAAAACAAAATGACCTAAATATAAAACCAAAATATAGTAGAAAAAAAATTCAGTTAAATTTGCAACGATTTAATACGCCACTTACGCGTGTTATAAGAAGGTATTATTTCGAACGTTAGTTATGAGGCCAGATTAGCGATTTTCAACCCTCATATCATCACAAAAACATCACAGATATTTTTATTGCATTTGAGCTTCTGGCAACAATCTCTTTCAGATTGCAAAGAAAATTTCTGCCAAAAACACTGGATTGTGAGTCGAAAATTGACTGAATAAAAGAAGACCCCGATCATAAATAATCCGCACTTTCTTCGAAGCCGGAAAATTGCTAAAATGAAAATGAAATGACAAAAACAAAATTTCCCCAACTCACAAACAAGACAAGTGTCTTCGCTACATCGAACAATAGAAATAGAACATTTAGAGATTTCTTACCATTTTTATACTGCTGTTTTCGGTCGTTGCGCAGCTTCAAATTTCAGGTTGTGTATCGCAGATGAATCACTGTAATCAGTGCTCTTCTTTCATTCGATCGTCTGCGTCACTCTCTTCTTGAAGTTGCACTCTTTGAGATTAATCCCACAACCTGAACAATGTGTGATAATGAAAAAGTGGCAAAAGGATAGCTGCTAACTTCAAAGACTGTCTTGTTAGCGCCTACAGCTCAAAAGGTGCAAATTGGCAATAAATGAGGAAGTACAGACTGAAATAGACCAATGTCTCCTATGCAAATTGAAAGCGATAGCGATGCGTCGCTAGTGAAAAAAAAGAGCCTCAAGTATACAAAATATTGCACAATAACGACGGAAATGCATCAGGAAACGATAAATAAATAAAAACTAATAAACCAAGGCGATCGCAGCGACACCTCGGTTAATGTATAGAAAATTAATTGATACCAAATTTTAAAATTTCCGAAAATTTTTTCGATCTATTTCAAATCAACAGGCAAGGTATAAGATTAACTGCGTTTGATTTTCCAGGAATTAATGAAAAGATGGTAGAAATCAAACAATAGGATCTCACACTTTCTAAGGAGAAAATAAAAAGCTTGTTAGTAAAGAAAACGAGGATAAACGGCGAAGAGCCAAAAACGGACTGCCTTTAGAACGACCAAGGCACTTTGGCTTAGAGAGTGGGAAAGTATCAATTGCTTTTGAATCGGCCTTTGAGGAGGGAGAGATAATAACACGTTTGATATAAATTCAAGCTGTATTTTTCGCTTTCGCTGGCCTACAAATCTGGGTAATACTGGTTACGCCAATAAACCCAATCCTACCAAATCCAATCAAAATCAAACAAATCCAAACAAGTCAGATTGGATCAAATCAAACAGCAAGTCCGGTTCGGTTCCTTTACACCCTCTCAAGCGTGAATTTGTGAAGTTTTGAGAAAGTAATCTGAGAGCTTCAAAGTTTCCTAAGTGGCGATTTTCCAGTTGGACGTAAATAAGCAACAAATAACAACAAAGGTGTAACAGTAGATCACTTCAGAAAATATCGCATCAGATCAACTAAACTTGTGTATGTTTCAGCAGCACTTGAAGTAAATAACAAAGCTTAGTTGACCGATTAATCAACCTACCACCCTTGTAACTTTGCTTCAGACAGAGGAAACCCGAGGAAAGAAAGATCAAGCGTAATCTTGATTCGCCCAAGTTGATTAAGTTCTTGTTAAACTATTGGGGCAGAAAATAAAGGTGTCCCTACTTATTTTAATCCTATATTCAACACAAACTAAATAAAATTTGCTCTTTCTGGCGACGAAAATATGAAAAGTTGCTGCAAATGAGAAATCGTTCGGAGCCCCGAAACACGAAAAATGAATTAAATTTAAGTCTATATATGACTCATACTAGCTAAAAAAATTTTCTTTTCAAAAGAAATTACATTTGAATGTCTGGTACAAGTTTTCAATTTCTCCCTCACAGTTAACCAATTTTTAACCATTTAACCGATTTTTTAAACGCTTCCCTTGCGTGGCTGTTTACTGTAATTATTCAATCGTAACGTTAAAAAAACATTAGTGGAAAACGTTCAAGTCAAATCAGACTTAAGAGGGTAAAATTTAAAGTACAACACGTTGAAAAATATGAAAGAATGATACGTCACGACATTAAACAAGTAACATCTTCAGCGTCACAAATTTATGATGCAAGTTATTAACATGCCCGACCGAGCTAATAACTTCGTCACACAAATATAGCCCAATTAGCCCAAAAAACACCCCAGCTCAGACATAACCAGAAAAGAGCAGCAGTGGCACATTCCGGCAAACCTGCAGCGAAAAGACCGGGACATGGCTCATTTTTACTCTATCACTCTTATTAGCATATTTTTCTAATTCAAATGCAAATGCAAACCAACGTCATCCATACTAACATAATTTCACATATGCGGCTCGGGTCTAATTTAATAGGCTGAACCATTTAGAGGTTGAACTACCGTTCCAAGTGAAGCTAGAGAACAATCGGAAATTCAGTTTCTCGGGCCCGAGTATTCCTCAGACAAAAGTCCAATTGCTGAGAACAATCTGAGAATGTGATTGGCCTGCTGTTTCTGTTAGACTTGATCTAGTGAACTATAATATGGGTTAAAACATCCTTTTTGATATAAAATGTGAACTTTTGTTAACATTTGCAATCTTCTCATTAGTATAATCCACTTCCATTTGGGGGAGTCAGACATAAGCTGATTATTGTTATAGGCCAAAGAATTCAACCCATAGAGGGGCCGCTGCTAGTCTCAGACTAAGGCTGACGGTTGGAATTTGAATTCCATGCACTAATGAAAAATTTTAAATAATGAAAAAGACTAGCTCCGTGTTCCATTGTTACTTCTATAAGCTAAAAACTTTACTTTTGAAAAAACAACAAATGATCCCCTCGGGCATATGCCTAAAGGAAATATAATTAGTAGCAATGTTCACAACAAGCTCACACTATTATGCTATATCAGATACAATTTGAGCTTAAGAATTAAACTATTTCACTAGATCATTTCAAACAGCGCGATTTTAAAGAATTCGATCAGCCCCTGGTTTCAACATGTAAATGTCGACCAATAAAGCTTCAAATTAACGTTTTCAAGTATTAAAACAAAACTGAGTACTGATGTTAATTTTGAGGAAAACATTTCTATTAAAAAGCATCAAAAATTGCTCAAAAACAAACCCAATTGAAAATTTTTACCTGCAAAATAAAACAACACAAAAAACCCAATATAATGGAAATAAGAACTGCATCATTTGTGTACTCCGACAGCACCCAATAAAAGGGTTGGATAATTCAAAATTTGTTATTCAAAGTTTTTTTTATTCAAGTTTCATGATTCAAAATTTGAATAACCATAAAATTCAGTGAAGCATATAAGTTGATTGAAAAATTTCAAAAGGACATCAAAAACGTCAAATATTAGTTCAAATTCAAATTAAAAAAACTTACTTTTTTTAAAACCCATAAAAAACGTCGTATCTCGAAAACTACAAAAAGATGAGCAGTCATATTTGGACGCAAGATCCGCAGTCCCTGAGAGTACTCCAAAAACCCCCAACTACAGGGTTAAGAAATTCATATTTTGAAAAATAATAAATTTAAGTTTTCAGAAAAGTTTTAGAGAAAATCACAAAAAACGTCATATCTGAAAAAATACAAAAATTTTAGCAGTCATACTTGAGGCAAAATTCGCAATCCCTAAGAATATTATGACAGCCCCAACTACAGGGTTGGGAATTTAAAATTTCTTAAAAAATCAGAAAACACATCATATTTTCGAAACTACAAAGAATTGAGTAGTCTTATTTGGAGGCAAAGTTTGCAACTTCAGGGAGTATCCTGATAAGAACCTCACTATAAAGATGGGTATTTGGAACTTGGTGAAATTTTTCATATCTAAGTTCTTGGCACCATTTCGAAAAAAAAATAGATAACCGACATATCTCGGAAAAAAAAGAGCATTTGAGCAATAGCATTTGGACCCAAGGTTTGCAATTTGGAACTCCTGAGAGTACCCTCACAAAACCCAATATTAAAGAAAAATCAAAAAACACATTATATCTCGAAAACTTCAAAAATTTTAGCAGTCATACTTGAGGCAAAATTCGCAATCCCTGAGAATATTATGACAGCCCCAACTACAGGGTTGGGAATTTAAAATTTCTTAAAAAATCAGAAAACATCATATTTTCGAAACTACAAAGAATTGAGTAGTCTTATTTGGAGGCAAAGTTTGCAACTTCAGGGAGTATCCTGATAAGAACCTCACTATAAAGATGGGTATTTGGAACTTGGTGAAATTTTTCATATCTAAGTTCTTGGCACCATTTCGAAAAAAAAATAGATAACCGACATATCTCGGAAAAAAAGAGCATTTGAGCAACAGCATTTGGACCCAAGGTTTGCAATTTGGAGCTCCTGAGAGTACCCTCACAATACCCAATATTAAAGAAAAATCAAAAAACACATTATATCTCGAAAACTTCAAGGATTTGAGCAATCATATTTGAAGGCATGATTCGCAACCCCTGAAAAAAACTTTGACAGCACCCAACTACAGGGTTGGGAATTTCAATTTTTGCGATCAGCGAAAAATAAAAAATCGTTGTATCTCGCACACTATAAGGATTTAGGCAATTATATTGGAGACTGAATTCACAACCCCTTGGTGAGCTCTGACAGCATCCCACTATTGGGCTGCTTATTTGAACTCGGTGCAAAAAACACTGAATTCAAACTGGGAAATTGAAAAAACTCTTAACCATTGCAATATAAGATAAAATTTAAACGTGAAAAAATTTTAACCTGCAAAAATAAAACATTGAAAAAACTTACACGTGGCAGTGAAGCCCGCATTTGAACATATGTAGATGGATAGTTAGATAACATAGTAGCAATCACTGAAACTGGTATCTTTCAAAATTGCGATACAACAAACACCACTTACGATACAACAAACAGCATGACAAACTAACAGACAGAATTTGAGACAAAAGCGTCGTAGTCGAAAAAAAAACAAGTTAAAACACAGACGCGAAGCTGCGCTTCGCAAACACTTGCGAGAACACGACCAAAAAGCAGCTCTATCAAGTCGAATCTCTATCAAATTGCCAATTCGATGCGGCAAAAGTGGCACCAAATACCAAAAGATACAATTTTGCATGTAATTAATCGCAAATCATTAAGCCACATTATGTGTAAATTGTGCATTTCAAAAACTGCGATATATTGAGTTAGAAAATTTCTGAATTCGAGATTTCATTATAGTCATGTTGTTCAAAACAAATAACATTTTTCGGTTCACTTGATGAATAAAAAATGCATCAACTGTGTAATTTTATAACGATTCGAATGTCAAAGCACGTTATCAATAAGCTGTAAATGTGCCACAAACTGCAAATTCGATGCAGCAAATATTGTTGCTTTCAGTTGCAACAATATTTGCGACTTAGGTTGGAAAAAAAGTTCGTACTATAACACTTTGCTTTGCAAGTGTAAATAACGAGAAAAACTAGATCTACCAAAATTTCTAGCTTTGTCTCAATTAGAAGTAGTTCTTTTAATGAAAAAAAGCTGAGAAAGACTGATAAAAGTTAAAATTGCATCAAAACCTAAGTTACGAAGCGGTAACAAAGCCAACAAACTACGAACAGACAGCGGTTCAGCTAGAAAAAAGTCTGAAACAATACAAAAAAGAACTAAAAACGAACCAAAATCACTTATAATCAACAAAAAATTGAACGCTAAATTTAAAAAACGTTGAATCAAAATCTGTTGTATACAACGAAAAGCTGAATGTCAAAACTTCTCACTTAACTTTTTTACTCTCAGAAAAAAAATTTGAATAAAGTATTTGAGAGAGAAACTAATTTCAATTAAAACCCAATAATTTAAGCAAAAGCGTAGTTCCATAGGGAATCAAAATAACTGACAACTTTTTTAGTGTGCACACGCGCCAAATCTCCTTGAATTAAATTTAAAATTCGATGAAACGAATGAAAATGGAAAGTAAGTATCTAAAATGCATATTTACATAAAAATCCCTTAAAACGGCGTAACAAAAATTGGTATAGAAAGAAGCATCTGCAAATATTAGCTTCAGACATCAATAAGTGAAAATCAATCAACAAAACTCGCCATGCATACAAATCTTTTATCAAACTCGCCATGCATACCCCGGAAACAGCTCTCAGTCGATTTTAATTTAGCATTTGAGAAAAAGTAAACTCTTCGAAACAATGCTAGACAGAAATGACGCAGCAGACAAGGAGCTACATACAAAAAAAGTCAACCAGATAACATAAAGAACTCAAACCATATGATTATGGTAAATGAAAAATTTAAGACTGGGCTATATTCATTGCTCTCTTGTAAAAAAAGATAAAAGACAAAATAATAAAAACTGCATATTTGGAACTATGCATCATTATATGAGTAAATCCAGTCATTTTCAACTAAATATATGATTGATTGAACTACAAAGAAGTTCTCCGCTTGGGCAATTAAACCGACAAAACATAAGCAGACAAACGATAGGCCGACAAATATTTTTCTCCAAGTGTTATGTTTTAAGTTTGCAAAAAGTAACAGGCCCTCAGTCGGTTTCAATCCACGGCCTTCTTCGTCCCAGGCATGGACATTTCCTCTGCGACAAATGTACAGAATGAGACACTGAATTTGATTCTTTTTTATAAATCAAGCAATCAAATGATTCAGAGGTTCTGTTAGACAGCTAAACCGAAAAAGGGTAAGTCTCAAGCTTAACATTTAACCACTTCACCTGGTCGGTCATTGTTTGTCGGTAATTAAAAAAGAAGTTCGAGAAATAATCCACGACCGTTGTCTCCTTTTTTTAAGTGAAATTTGGCGCCAAAATGTCTAACAACAACGCAAAAAAAACTTTTTGATATCATTTGACATCCATACAATTTCCAGTCTGAGGGTTTTCTTGAGGTGCCAATGTGCGGCAAAACGGAGACAAAATGTTCGCCTATCTATTCAACAAACAGTTTCGTCCCACTAATTTCACAGTGACTTTATAGCATGGTAGGTACAAAAAATTCATTGCTTGGCAGCACAAAAAACTACTTAATAGCACGGTACAAAAACATTCTTTGCTGTACAAAAAAGCATGGAAAAATGAGAAAGAATGAATTTTGTGGGTAAAAAACATTAATATTAACAAAATGGCAGTTAAAGAAACAAAGGCCTTGATTAATGTCAAATCAACATAATAAGGCAAACCACAGGTTGCTAAAATATTATGACTTCTGTATTAGAACTTACCTCAAAGCCGACTTATGCAATTTAAACAATATTATAGAATTTGAACGTGAGAGCGCGACTCTTATTGAGTCACTCAACTCTGCGGGAGGGCGGGAAAAGGGCACTGAAGGGTTTATGATGTGATGTAGGTGTGGTTGTGTTGTGGGTTGGTGTCACCTTTACCGGTTAATTAAATTCACTGAGCGCTAGTTTTCCTCTGGGCTCAGAAGAGTGGCGTGAATGTAAATTCATTTCACGTGATTGATCTACATTGCATTAATGGATCGATTCGATTGCTGCACTGCAAAAGGATCCATTTGGTGAAATTAAAATTACCCCAGCGATAGTCGAGTCAGGTTATCAACCCTGTGAACAAAAGACAACCCGGGGAGAGACGGTTTAAAAAGGGACTTACTTATAACTGGGACCTATAATGGAATCTGAGTCAAATATTGGGTAACTGGACTATTGTTCTTTTTTATTCAGAGCTTTTTTAAAACTCAGATGAAAAATTACAAATTAAATCCAGTTGTAACGGACGTAAATGTTCAGCATCAAGCAGAAATGAAGGCAAGAAATGCGTGATTGTTAAGTAACTTAAGTGAAACTGCTGATGCTGTAGCTGCGGCTACTAGACTACAAAGCGGAACAGTGCCAAATGGCGATTAGGTTAGATTAGATTAAACCAAGCCGCCACTTGGCAGTTGTCTTCAATAGATCTATGCAATCATACCTTACCTTCAGGTAGAACTAGCGTGAAATTATTTCCCAAGTCAATATTTCATATCTTTCGGGCTAATTAAACAAACTAACAAAAAAAACAGAAACGGTAACAAATGAAATGAAGTTAACTCACCTTACCTAGATAGCTTAATTTTCTCTAATCTGATGCTTACTGTTGCAGAAAACGGTAACAATAGTAGATTATAAATTAAATTTAAGGTTAGATAAAGGAGAGTTATTATTTTCCCAGTCTGCTAGTCTACCAACTAGAAACCAACAAATTTTTAAGCGCAACTTTTCGAGGCGTGTTGGATTTGCTATTCTTAGCCGTGTTTTTTTATTTGTACATAATAAATTCGCGTAAATCAATCACAATAGCCGTTACCATGGTCTAACGTATCGTCTCGTCAAACAACCCTAAATAAAATCGCCCTTAGTGGTAAACTGCTTGTTGCTTGGTGCTATATACCATTGCATAAAAACTAGCATCCGTCCATCGCAGCTCTAGGGCCACTTGAACAGCAGAGATTAGAAAGTGTTACAAGTGTATTTACAGTGGCCGGGAAACTAAGAGAGAGAAAAACGAATCAGGGGAAGGAAGGAAAGGGAGGACCAAAAAGGATAGGTCCAAAATGATTGGAATAAAAACCAAAATGGACTGAAATGAAAAAGAAACAAAATACCACCAACAAACCACCTCACCTCAATTTTCCAATTTTCTCATAGCTTTTCCCCACTTCGCATCTCTGACTACAAATACACCACACTAATAATAAATCACGAAGAGGAGCAAAAACAGAGTGAAAAATAACAATGAAAGTGAGAGGAATAATGGGATATGGGATAAATGGTGATAAAATATTAAATCACTCCTCACTTCTTTAACCACAATCAAAAGAAGAAGGACGGAAGAAGGAGCAAAACAAAGGAAGTGAACACAGGGGGCAGTCAGCAAGGAGGAGGGGGCGTTTGAAAACAAAAGAGGCCACCAAAGCTGAAAGAAGGGGGCCTAAGGGCCGAAAATTGTCATCGACGCAAATATCTAGCTGCACAAAGGTATCTAGCAGTTCAAAGGAAAACTTTGTTTAAAAACTTCTCTGCCCTCCATGCATAAAAGACAACAGGTCAAGCTCCATCAATTATTGAATGATAAACTGATAAACATAACGGTACTATACTATTCTACAATCTGAATTCAGAATTTCAAACCTGTCAATCAACGAAGGTTTAGGCCCACGAAAGGTCAACAGCAGGTGACCGGAACCTACACACGCCAGCTATAATTATACTCTTACCGGTCAAATCACACAATATCATTCTATCGCTGCTATTCTTCCCAATATTACCCAAGAATAACGGAACGAAAATTCCAATGACCGATCAAAAAACAATCAAAAAGCTCCCAAAAACATCAAAAAGCGGAAATAATTATCGCCCAGCTCAATCTTGCGAGGCAGTAAACCTTGAAATGGTTATCTAAGTATGTGATTAGTAGCCGTTAAAGCACAAATTGGTTACTATGACGGTAAATTTGACCAAAAGTCTAAAATAACAGTTAGCAGGCTATATTTGAGCTTCGCGAAAGACTCAAAATGCAAAACTTTATAAAAAAACTTTATCTAAATTATCAAAAAAGACATAAATCTGAAAATGTAACCAAATTTCTTGTGATTGATTCTGTGATTGACATAATATTTTGAATTCTGTTATTTAGATTTTAAAAAAAGTCGTCACTATTTCTTTGCTAAATACTGGAAAAATATTCCAGAACCAGCGACACCAACTGACAAAAAAAGACAAATAACTTTGATGAATTGCTGATGGAAAAATTTCAATATCCTCAAACCAATACAAAAAAAATCCATTTTTGTTTTCAAATTTCGAGCATCACAAGCAAAAATTATATCACCTTAGAACTCCTACAGTGCCAATAGATAGTTGGAAGTGTAAATAAACAAGCAGGGAAAAATATTTGTATGAAAAACTAGATAATTCGAAGAAAAAATTATGCCTTTAAAGCCCTTGGAATTTCAAGAACAATTTATTGCCCCTTTTTGCTTGAATTAACCCAATTTGAGAAAGCTGGATCAAAAGATACTTTTTTATTGTACTTAAAAATTTGAAAGTTAAATTCTACATTCGAATTTATGTTTATCACAAAAAAATCTGTTCAAAGTTTCATTCTCGACTGGTATATTTGTTTTTAGAACCCTTTTCGCGTATTAGAATTTAAATCCAGCCGTGCACAATTGCAAATTGAGTCACGCAAAAAGCAGCAGTTCAACCGATATAATTTTAGCAGACCGTTTCATCAAAGAAAAATAAAAATAGCGCTGGCAATTTTTGTTCCAGATAAAAATTACCTTGATTTCATCCTCCAGACACCTTCATGACAACAGAACCAAGCAACATTTTCGGAAATAGTGTGACGCGTAGATCTTGGATTTTCGAGATAAAATTTGATAATTTTTCAGAAATCTTAAATATTTTAGACATTGGCCTTCACTTGGTTACTAAAATTTATTGCAGAGAAGTAACATTAACTTGACACTCAGATGCGGAGATGCTTTTCCAGATTATAAAATAAAGCCAACAGACAGCAGCAGAAGTGTCAGAGAAAAAGAAACCGCTAAAAGACAGATTAGTGAGAGAAGATATATTTATCAAAAAATCATAAAATATAAAATAAATATATTGCCGTGAAGCTATTCAAATGTAGAAACAATTTTACTGTAGATTCTATTAGATAAAATAAACCCAATTGAGAAAACTGGATCAATAGATAAAAATTTTATTCGACTGTAAAAATTAAACCTAGCCAACAGGCAGTTGGAAAAGTGTCAACGAACTCGAAGAAACAGAAACAAAACTATTTATTGAAGTTTTCAGCATTCGAGTTTCGAATCAAAAGTATATCACTTAAAAACTCTCTGAAATTCTAAAATCTTTTCTCATTAATTTTTTGATAAAACTAGCTAAATTTGAGAAAACAGAACCGATAGGTAACTTTTTTTATTCGGCCGGGAAATCCGCTATTAATACTAAAAAAATCCAGTCTAATGCGCCATTTGCAAAATCTTCATTGACGAGCGTCATTTGTCTTCCATTAAGCATACTGATTTGAAGCGAGCTAAAAACAAAGTAATTTAAAGGTCGAACTGCGAATAATAAAAATTAAGCGTGAAAAACTTAACACTTTTTATACCGTTTCTCCTCCACATTTCACAATTTAACCATTGACTTCACGAAGTTGCATATGAAAAAAAAATGTGTTTGTAATTGCTTAATGCAGCTACATGCCAATTCTAATGGCAATTAGACTATGTGCATAAAACTTTGAAACGCGGAAAATATATAGCGGAGGGAAAACGGCAGAAGCTAACGTTTGATTCGAAAATGTCGAAAAATAGGTCTTTCAAAACGGACAAGACTAGTTTTGAAACGCATACCAAAGACAATTGGAAAAAGTCAATGAACGCAAGTAAACAGAAAAACACCGACAAATTTTTCGAAAATATATGAACATTCCAATTTCCAAGAAAAAAATAGATAAAGCACTTTCATCTTCTAGAGCAAATTATGATTGACACGTTTTTGATTAAACTAACCCAAAGTTAGAAAACTGGATCCAGGTGTAATTTTTAGTGTCACTGAGAAGTCTGATAATTAAATTCGTTTTCGAAATTAGAAGTCGATCACGTTTTTCCTGACCTTAACATTTTTGCTGTTCGATAGTGGAGTTGGCCTTCCTTTCAACCAAGGAAAAACAAAAAAATATATATCACGACTCGTATAAGAGTACATATGAACTACATTCGTCGACTTTCAACATACCTTGACAATCGAATGTGAAATTTTTATCGGAAAAATTACCAAGCGGTAACGAAGCCGAAAATACCTTAGCAGAAACCATTTTAGCCGAAAAAACACATTTTTTTTGCTCGTCAAAAGAAAAAATATGAGGCCACAAAGCCGATTTAAGAGGTCGAAACCTATCAAGCTGAAAATTAGTAATAGAAAATTAATTTACAACCGACATAAAAAGCAAATTTTGAATAGGACAGATATTTAAACTGCTAACATGCACAAAAGATGTCTGTTGCACTAAATTTGTCGCTAGCAGAGGCTTCCAGGAGATTAGTCCTGAGAAAAAAGTTATTTACGGGAAAAAGTCTAGTATCCGATTGCAATACCTTTCCATATCACAAGGGTAAACTGCGAAAAAAAAAACCGTGAAAAATCTTCCGTGGCAAAACTCATTTCATCACTTAGCTTATTTATACTTTAAAACACAGACCTAAGCAATTGAACAATCACTTCGTTTACAAATACTTTCAAATGAATTTGTTGAAAATATACTCTTTGGTTACTAAAATTAGCAAAAGCTACACAGCAAAAACCATACTTAATGAGACAAGTTGAAACAACTATTAACTTACTTTATTTTAATTTTGCCTGATTGTGATATAAGTTCGTTAAACACGAGCTTCGACTGCGAAAACGTCTATCAAATTCCATATAGCAACCGTGCTCCTCCGTCAAAACAAATTCTTTCAGATGACAAATCTAGGAACAGGGAGGAGTTTTCAGAGAAAATTGTGGTCGTTTGCCAATAGCGAATAAATTAAAATAAGGATAATATTCAAGCTTAACTTTCTATTCCGTCTTTATTGCTGTAACTCTTCTAGCATCTGTGTCATGCCTGACTTCATAATTTATTCATATCAATTAATTGATGACTAAACCGACCTGATTCGGTCGCTCAGTTTGAGATCAAAGAAGCAATGTTAATTATGTAAATTAGATCTTTCTAGTTCCGAGTCTCCGCAAAATTGAGGTTAACTTTAGTTCGCTGTTCGGGCAAGGTGTAATTCACAGGATACATGCTATATATGACTTTTGCTCTCAATTACACTTTAGTTCAACACACGTGATTGTTAATCAGAAACGGGTGACAAACACTTGCAGGCTATTTCAATTAATGCTTGAAATCTTCACCTGTAGTCCAGCTAAGGTAAATTGTTGTAAATTGCAGGTAATTGATATTGGTAAGCATTTGGTCAAGTTCAAACCGAAGTGTTGAAATCAATCAAAGCCCGGTCTGGATTCTATTTCTAATTGGACAATTGCCCAAGTGTTGTGGATGAAATTACAACTCAAATGGCAAATCAAGTGAGACGGGTACATATTTCATGAAGGGATTAAGCGTAGGAGTACTGGTTGAAGGAGGAACGACCCACTTTTACCTGTGCTGTCCACTACCTGCCACGGAAACTAGATAGCTAATCTTTTGCTAACCGAAAACCAATCACCCTTCAATTCCAGTGACATGTTTTAAATCAAAAGTCAAAAAGACACCACCATATGACAAGGATTAAGCACGTTAGGTAATATGAAAGGAACCCCATTTTGACCTGCTGCATCGAATTCATCACCATTTTGAAGGATCGTCAAAACAATTCATCTGCTCGAAACTAACGCCCAGAAACAAAAAATATCCCAGAATTGATTCGGTTCAATGCATTTTACAATCTAGCTTGAAAAGCGCATGATAAAAGTTGCTTGTCAATTTCAAATCTCCCGAAATTTCATTGCCCTGTCAAATTATTTGAAAACTAATTTTAGAATTATTCACAAATTGTTTGTATCCCCTCAAATTGATGAACAATTATTAGCGGCCCATAAGAAATTTGAGATAATCCCGGGCAAACCTCTGAAAAGCACGATTAAAAACCCTTGTAAGAACTACTTCAAATAAACCCAAGCAACTTCTGATGAACCCAAGCTGGGTTAAAAAACGTATAGAAACAATTTTATAGCGGCTCACTTCTTAAAAGATGTTAATGTCCTACTTTCTTAAAATACACAGCAAAATGGCCTTATTTTTAAACTGTTTTTAAAACAGTGTTTTAAAAAAGTTTTAAAACACCCTGTTATAAAACGTGCCATCCTGGATGAAACACTTGAAACAGCAAATCAATCTATCAAGTTTACTGGAAATTGAAATCGATAGTAGAAGTAATACTATGATGCTGCAGTCATTTTTTTCCTTTTCCAAAAGCTATATTTTCTCAAATCCGAGGAACATCTAATATTTCATTTTCCGTTCATGTTCAAGTTAAAAAACAGAGGCGAAGCAGAGCTTCGCACCACTTGAAATACATCACAAACG